GAATAGATTTTGCATAAATCTCAAAAAGTCGAAATACCTCAAAAATCCAAAATCAATTTTGGAAACATGTATAGTTATAACAGTTTAATTTTATTTTAGTAATAATAATAACGTATAATATTATTTTAGATATTAATAATTTTTAAATATTTTTTTTAATTATATTTTACTTTTATTATATTAATAATATTAATAACAAATAAAATAAAATTGATAAAACAAAGTAACAAATTATTTTTAATAATAATAAAAAAAAAATTAAACAAATTTTCATAACTAATTATAAATTGTCTTAAAAGTTATAAAAGCTAATTATAAACAGGTGATAAGTTGCAGGCCCGTCTTATATGAGTTAGTCCAAGTCTCATATTTTTAAATAAACATTAAAATAAGTTGTGTATTTTGTATTATGTAATCCTATGTAAAGTAAAAAACTTTATCTTTTTTTAATTAATAAATCTGAGGCAAGATCTTACTAGAACAAAAAAAAAATAAAATAAAATAAAAGTTAATTATGAATTGTTTTAAAATTATAAAAGTAATTATAAATTATCTTAAAAATGTAAAGACTAATTACAAATTGTCTTAAAATTATAAAAACTAATTATGAATCATTTTAAAATTATAAAAGTTAATTACAAATTATTTTAAAACATAAAAGTTAATTACAAATTGTTTTAAAATCATGAAAACTAATTACAAATTATTTTAAATTGTAAAAGTTAATTATAATTTATCTTAAAATTGTGAATATTAATTATAAATTGTTTTAAAATTATTAAAGTTAATTACAATTTATTTTAAATTATAAAAACTAATTACAAATTATTTTAAAATCATAAAAGTTAATTACAAATCATCTTAAAATTATGAAAGCTAATTATAAATTGTTTTAAAATTATAAAGGTTAATTAAAAATTATCTTAAAAATTGTGAAAGCTAATTATGAATTATTTTAAAATCATAAAGGTTAATTATGAATTATAAAGTTTTAAATAGTTCAGATCAAACTGAAATTAAACAGTCAATTTTGAATACAGTTCTAGTTCAGTTTGTTTTTTTTATAAACTGAAATTTTCAATTTGAGTCAGTTCTGTTTTAGATTATATTAAAGGACTAAATCAAAAACTTGAAACAAAACTAAAAAAAAACTGAATTTGAATCAGGTTATAATAACTTGTATAGAATATAAAGAGTAGAGCTAAATTTATTTTAAAATTTTTAAACCTTTCAGAATTTTATTTTGATCTTAAACCTTTTGTTCAAATCTTTTAAACTATCTTAATTCTCCTAAATTATTTTCCAAATTGTCTTAAACTTCTTAAATTATTTTAACTTTTTTAAATTATTTTAAATCTTTTAAACTATTTTAAACTTTCTAAATTATTTTAAATTAAAATATTATATATTTATATCTAATATATATAATTATATACATGTTATCAAAGTAAAAGCTTTTGACTTAATTTCAATTTTTTAAGTTTTAATTATATCTGATTTAATAATTATATTAATTTATTATATAAAAATAAAAATTTGTTAATTCAATTCTAATTTTTTTTAATTTTTGTTTATATATATTTTATTTAATTACTGAATTATAATCACCAATTAATTATAAATTTTATATTTATTAATTATTTATAAGTTTGATATATAACTTTAAATTAGAATTAAATAATAAGAAATAATTTTCTACTAAGATATTTTTAATATTATTTGAAAAATCTTGTTTTTGATTTTATAATCAAAATTAAATATTTTTAAAATTATTATTTATTTAATTATCACTATTTAAAAATAATATAATTTCTAAATGATTTATATAACAGGAAACAATTTTCTATTAGAATATTTTTATTACTATTTAAAAACTCTTACCTTGAATTTAACAATAATTATTAAATTATCTTTCTAATACTAATATTTATCATTTATCAAGTTATTATTATCTAAAATAATCTTATTAAATATAAAAATTTATAAAGTTTGTAAATTTATTATTAATATTTTATTTTTTGACTAAGGGGTAATTTTTATAATATCATTTGAAAAATCAAAATTCTAACTTTATAATTATAGTTGAATTACCTTTTTAATAATTATAACAATATATTAGAAATGATTTTATTAATTATTTATAATAGAATTTTTAATTATTTTTTTAAAATTGATATTACCATAATTATAAAATTATATATTTTTATCACAAAGATATTTTTACAATATATCTGTGATATATTTTTAATATTTTTTTTTTTAAAAAAATTAAAAAAATTTTTATCTTCATAATATATTTGCAATATTTTTTCAATATCTTTTTTATTTTAAAAATTAATAAAAAATATTTATCTCTAGAATATTTTATTGATTATATTTTTTATTACAAAATTATATTTTCAATATATCAAAATATAAAATTATATTTATCAAATTGATATCTTTAGAATATTTTATTGATCATATTTTTTATTTCAAAGTCATATTTTTGATATATCAAAAATATAAAATTATATCTATTAAATTAATATTTTATTGATCATATTTTTTATTACAAAGTTATGTTTTTGATATGTCAAAAATATAAATTTATATTTATTGAATTAATATCTTTAGGTTATTTATTATTATAAAATATTTATTATTAAGATATAGTTTCAATTTATCAAATTTATAATTATTGAATTGATATTAAATTAATTATAATTTGATACAATATGTATACTGTCACCGGTAGTTTCTGGTTCCCTTGAGGTTAAATCAGTAGAGTAACTTAACAGTTCTTTTAAAGAGTTTATAGTTCTTTTTTGAAGGTAAGACTGTTGTTCAGTTGTTTTAGAAGGCACTACTGATTCGGTTATTTTAAAAAGAAAATTAGACCTTTCATCTAATTTATTTTAATATTTTTTCAAGTTCATCATTATCTTTAGTATTAATATTCATTCATTAATTATCTTTTAATTTCATCAACTTTAAATATTATTTTCAATTATCCGAGTTAAATATTATTTCAAGTTCAGGATTTATAATAATAGTTTATAATTAATTTCATTAATTCAAGAATAATAATATTATACAATTATATAATCAAGTATTTAATCCCATAATATCTATTATTTCTTTATTAACTATATTTTTATCATTCAATATGACTTTTATTTAATATTTTCAATATTTATTATTTTATTAATTCAATTACAAGATAATTTTTACAAGTATTTATCTTGGAGTTACAATTATAAAATTAAATTTATCAATTTCAAATAAGTTACAAATTATCAAAATTCAAAATTATAAAATTGTAAACTAAAGAATTAAGGTAGAACTTTGGTCCTTTTTATAAGTATTTTAGATGATCTATACTACTGTACCATTACTGTGCCTTACTGTACCCTACTGTGTCTTACTGTGCCTTACTGTACATTATTTTTATTGATTAATATATTTATAATTTAATTAAATTTATTTAATATTAATTAATTTGTTAGATTAAGAATAATATAATGATAATTAATACTATATTATAATTATGAAAACTGTGTAACTATATTATATGATCTATACTATAGATTATATGTCTTGATAATTTCATCTGGTAATAATGTATCTAATTAATAATATTTCTAGAAATATATTAAACAGGATAATTTTTATAAAAAATATTAGAAGAATCATGTTTATCCATCTTGCAATATCTAGAAAAAATATCCAATTAAACTTTATAATTAAGTTTCACAACATATCATTTAAGCCAATAAAATTCATGTAAATTATAACACATGATTTCAATATGTGATTTAATATGTGATTTAAAATAAGAAATAAACAAATAAACAATAAAAATAAATTAAAATTATAAATAAATACTTTGGACATTTACTAGGCTCTGATTATCTAGTATAAAGTTAATTTGAAATATTTTTATAATTTAATTCAGAGGTTAGAAGTTAGGATCATACCTTCAGATTAAAGTTGATTTGATTTAATTTGACTTATGAATACTGGTAACAGGAGATAATTCTTTATTATTGTATTTTTAATGCTATTCAAAGGTGACAAATAAATAATTTGACATTGATATTTGTCAAGTATTGTTATTTGAGATGATTCATTAAAATTTAAAATTAAGTTATATAAGCTTGACTCAGTTTAAGTCCAACTTTTAAACTTAAGATTAGCTAGCTTTGCTCATAAGGAGCTTTACTTTAATATTGGAAATTTTATAAGTTATATATTATTGAATACTAAAATTGTCTAAACACACACAATTGTACTTTATAATCAATCATTGTTTACAGAAATAATTAGATCAAATAAATTTATTTTATCAATATCAAATTGATTATTTATATAAACTATTAACTCTCTATTATTTGTTTGATTGCTATTTAGAACTATAGTAAATGAGTAAAATAAATGTTTGTCTTGCAAAAATTAATATGTAAAATAATTAATAATAACAATTATAATAATAAATAATTATATGATAATAATAATATAATGGTAATAATGATAAAGATTAATAATAATAAAGATACAGATTCATAATAATAATAACAACAACAACAATAATAATAATAATTGTTACTCATAAAATTCATAGAATTCACAGTCTTCATCATCATTATTAACTTTATTTCGTTTGAAACCCGTAATTTTATAATAAGTTGGTGGCTTTAATTCATAAGGTCTAGTTCTTATCGCTGTATGAATTTGAGCATTATCAACGCTCACTCTCATATTATTAATAGTATTAGTAGTAAGATTGCTTTGATGACGATAATTCTTATCATCATCATCATCATCATCATCATTATAATTATAATTATTGTTATCATTATTATTATCATTATTATAATTATAATTATAATTATCATTATTATTATCGTTGTTATTTGCATCTTTAATGTTTAATCTGTTGTTATCACAATTGTTCACACTATTTACGCTATTCAAGTTATCCACATTATCCATACTATTCACGTTAGTCACGTTATAGGTATCAACATTATTATCCACTTTATCCACCTTATCCACTTTATTATCCACTTTATTATCCACTTTATTATCCACCCTATTATCCACCTTATCCACCTTATTCATACCATCTTCATTTGAATGATGAATATCAACTATTACTGGGATGTTTTTCTCTTCGTAAATAGGTGATGGTTTTAATCCACTTAATTCGATGGTTAAATACTAAGAAAAAAATAAAAATAAAAATACGAAATAAAAATAATTAATTTTTTTAAAAAATAACATTAAATAACATTTGTAAGATTTTAATAAATTAATGTTTACAAATTGAGTAGTTCGATTATAATTAGTTTTAATTATTTTCCAATAAATGTTTTTTGAAACATCTTCTTTGTTATATTTTCTTAATAATTTATTTAAATATTTCGTTTTCTACATAAATAATAATGATATTATAAATAAAGAAATATAAATATGTACAATACTATGCTGCGCAACACATAATAATAACAAATAATTACCAATCTTCCGTTACGAATAAAGAACCAATAATCGAAAAATGCTAAAGTAATCATTATTAATAACGCAGCACCATAAATTATTTTGTTCGTAAAAGGTTTTACCAAAACAAATAGAATTGTAAAAAATATAGTCGATGATAGTAAAGGTATCATTATATTGTAAAATTGAAGTTTGCGTGAGGTGACATTGAATTTTTTGATTCTTGTGGTATATTCTTGAATTGTATACTTTTTATCATAAAAAATGAATGAATTAATATTGAATTTACATACAATAATATAAAAATTAGGTAAAATTATAAATTATATATTTAGTTATATATATATTATATTATATTTTGATACTTACATATCCACCAAGACTTTCATTATATAGATTATCTTTAATTATCCAATGCTTTAAAGGTAACCTTATAATTTCTATATCATTATTATATTGATTTCGAAATTGAAATCGATATTGCCGATGTGGATGTAATTGCCGTTTATCTAATAATATTTCGATTGGTTGTATTGGCGGTGGTTGTAATTCTTGTCGATGTTGTGGTTGTAATTCTTGTTGATTTGATTTAACAATGTTGGTATAAGTGGAGGGGGCCAAAGAATTCATTTTATTCATTTTTTTTTTTTTGAATTAAATAATTTTTTTATTGTTTAAATTCGAATGGATAAGTGGATAACATGGGTGAACATTAAAACCGCATTAAATTAGAAAAAAAAAGAATGAATAAATTGAACCACATTAAAATGAGAAAAAAAAGAATGAATCTAATTTTTCCTTAATGTCTTAAAAATTAAGAAAATAATAATAAAAAAAAAAAAAAACGGCGACGACGACCACGACAATTACATATAATATATATATATTCAGCAATTTACGTATATTCCTGTTTTGGGCTTCCGGAACAAAATCATTAATCGTCATTAATTATATATATATTTATTTATTTTTTTCATGTCAATTCTTATAATATCTTGTGATAATAATATGCATTTCTAAAAAGGTAATTTTATTATTATTATTCAATTCTATAAAATAGAATCATTTATAAAAGAAAAAAAAAGAATATTATATATGACATAATAATATTAATATATAATAATATGAATTATAATAATATTTGATAATCGCAAATATTCTAAATATTCTGAAAAACTTGGAAATTTAAACGCCATTTGAGTTTCGATGACTTTTCTAAAGTAATAATTTACTTAATTAATATTTTTATATATCATCATCACTACATTCTCAATCAACTTCGGATATTTCATTTTTCTTAATCTCATCACCTCCATTCTCAATATTCTCAACAATTTTAGATGATAATCGTTTCTCATTAATTTCAGGATAATTTTCTTCTTGATCACTAATGACAGCGGTTTCAGTATTACTAGAATTTGATTCATTTGAATCGTTCAACGTAGAACTTTCAGAAATTGATTTTGTTAAAGTGGCACCTTGTTCAATCGTTGATGTAGGTACTACTACTTTTGTTACAATTTCATTATCATTATCATTTTCGTCAGATTTAGGAATAATTTTAGGAGGTGAACTTTTTTTACCTTTCTTTTCTGTTTTAAAATCTTTTGTATCATTTCCTTTATCAGATTCTTTAAATTTAGTGTTTTCATTGGATGAGTCATAATCACTTTGATCACCAACATTTAAGGTATTTAATTTCTTACTATGATCGACCGTCTCAGAATCGGATTGATTAAATTGAATCGGTTTTACACTATCAGTTTCGCTGGCGATATTTTCTTTTTTACTATTATCGACCGTCTCAGAATCGGATTGTTCAAATTGAATTGGTTTTACACTATCAGTTTCGCTTGCGATATTTTCTTTCTTACTATGATCGACCATCTCAGAATCGGATTGTTTAAATTGAATTGGTTTTAGACTATCAGTTTCGCTGGCGGGTTCTGAATTTTCTGGATCATGATGTTGTCGTTGTTCTTCGTCACTATCATCAACATCAGATCCTTCAGATGGTGTAGTGTTAGTAATAGAAGTATTTGTAAAATTACGATCTACATAGACATAACGATTTATTAAATCGTTGATATATTCCATTCCATTATCCATAATGTATGCAACGATCCTTCCCAGATAAGTTTCAGGCTCATGGTGATATGATCGTGGAAAAATGTAATTATCATTATTTGTTATCTCGATTGTGGATTTTTGTTTAATACATATAATAATCCAATAAACATGATGAACTAAGATCGAGAGAGATTCTTTGATACATTTTGGGATTATATTTTTTAATATATTCATAACTAGAAAAGATAATAAAATTATTAAATAAATTATTAAATAAAATTATTATCAAATAAAAATCAAATAAAATTATATAAAATTATTAATGTTTATAAAATAAAACTAACGCGAAAAATAAAAGAAATTAGAGAAATTAAAAAAAAAAATTGGCAAGGAACAAAAGAAAAATGAAATGAAATAGTTGATTAAAAATCGAATAATATTTATTTAAATTCTTTTTTTTTTTTTTTTTTTAAAAAAAAAAAAAAAAATTTAATCATAATTCTTGAATTATATCATTTTTCTATACTATTTTAATCATAATTCTTGAATTATATCATTTTCTATATTATTTAGTCAATTGAATTATTAAGGTCATGGGAAAGCGCTTTATATGAATTTGCATGATAGGTTTGAGTGAGTGATTAAATAATTTGATAAATTGAATTTTAACTTGTATAAAATCTGTGCAGAAATCAATGACGAAAATTATGGTTAATAATTAAGCAAAGATTAAATTATTATTGTTGGATTGTATTTTCGCGTAAAAGATTTTGATATGTATGATTATTAATAAACAATAAAAAGTTATGGCGGAATATATATATATTTATGCAAAAGTTAATATAATGTTTAATATAAAGACAAATGTAAAGACAAATGTAAAGACAAATGTAAAGACAAATGCAAAGGCAAATGTAAAGACAAATGTAAAGACAAATGTAAAGATAATTTATTGAAATTCGCACGAATTGATTATTTTTATTATTTAGTATGTCATTGTTTTAATCTATTATGACAAGATTAATTAAAAAATTTATATAATATTATACACAATCTATATTTCTAGCCATTTATATCTCAAAATAGATTTATTTATTCTCATGACTCAATGTTTTTTCCAAATTTTATATTAAATCTCAAGAACAACAATAACAGAGATTACGAAATATGAAATATCAAAGATTATGAAAATTTTAATAATGGAATTTAAAAAATAGCGTATAGGGATTTTTTTCAACAAAAACAGAAATTCACCAAATTGATACAAATTGATGCAGTCAAACATATCGAGTAAACCAATAAAAAAATCGAAAAACTCTTTAAAATTTGCTGCACAATAATGTTGATAATGTGTACCTTGTTAAACAAAGTAAAATTAAATTTTGTATTGCCGAGATAATGAGATCGAGAAGGCGTAAAAGTTATGAACAATGTTTACGGTAAAGAATATATAGAAAAATATAGAAATATATAGACAAGGAACATGGAATAAGAATAATGGGATAAAGACATTCTCATGTGCACAACGGAACATTTGTTAGGATGATGTCATAATTTTGGGAAAGGAGAATGATTTTTTTGATTATAACGGTTATACATAATATGATTATAATAATAATTAGTGATATAATAGTAATACAAATAGCAATAATTAATACTATAGTTAATGTAATTTTTTTTTTTTACATTATTTAATAATAATTAAATAAATTTTATAAATAATTTAATTTAAAGATTCATTCACGCTTTCTTATTAAAAATTAAAATTTAGAATATGACTCAACTTCTTTGTTTCATTCATTGTACATAATATGCGTAATATTAGTACATACTATAATGTACGTTAGCATACATTTAACATACTTTCACATACGTTAACATATTAATCTATATTAAAAATCGAAAGAATTTAACGTGTAATCAAATTTTTCATTTCATTTATGATTTTCTTATTAAGTCTACATTTTAAATATTGCTATCATGCTTTTGACACGTTTGCATGCATTCACATGTGTCATTATTTTTTTCTTTTCTTTGAATCTGTGCAATTTTTTCATGTTTTTCATGTTTTTCATAACTTCATTGATTTCATCAATTTTGTAGATTCCTTTAAACGTTTATCAAAACGGTAAATCTAATACAAATCCATAATAAATTCACAATAAATAAATACAATAAATTATATTTTTAATAATTGATAAGTTTTTTTTATTTCCTTAATTGTCTTAATTATAAAAAATAAAGAATTTCGTAATAATTTATGATAAAAAAGAATTATGTTTGTCATAAAGTAAATTGTAAACTGTTCATTTATAAATAATAATGCAAAAATGATAAATGGATAATAGTTCGTGGTAGCACACACAGCGAACAAACAAGATAACATAATTACAGCATTACAACAATAACAACAACCACCACCACCACCACCACCACCACCACCCACCACCGACGACGACGACGACGACGAAGACGACAACAACAACAACAACAACAACAACCCGACAACAACAACAACAACAAAACAACAACAAGAAACAACATCAACAAGATGACAACAAATACCAAATGTAATACAGATAACTGCTGACCTTTATAAACACAATAGAAAAAACTCAATATGATTAAATGTTATTTATTTGTTTATAATGATCTTTTAGGTCAAGTGTCATAAAATTAATTCTTTTAATATTCGTTTATTCTTATTCATTTAATAAATATTTTAATGGTAATTATTTAAAATAGTAGTTTTTATTGGATCTCTTTTTTTTTCTTTCTTTACACCAATCAAATGTCACAACATGAACATAAGAACAAACATAAGAACAACAACAACAACCTAACATAAAATGTAACAATAATAGAATGTTATTAATGCAGAACAGATGAAATTGTTTGTTTATTACTCGCTGTTTAAAATGCCAAAGATAACTATTACATTATAATAGCATATTTTTGTTACAAAAAGAGCATAAATAAAACGTATACACGTATAACATTCTCACGTCACACATGTCTTACATATATTGTATTACAAATATGACACATTTGATATTTATAAAGATTTTTGTGTATCGAGTCTAAGAACGGATGACCATCCATGCAAGAAGACTTCTCCTGCAATGTATCATCTTTTCAAAAATATAATGAGTATCATTATTATTTATTTTTATTATTTTTATTATTTTTATTATTTTTATTATTTTTATTATTTTTATTATTTTTATTATTTTTATTATTTTTATTTTTTTTTATTATTTTTATTATTTTTATTATTTTTATTATTTTATTATTTTTTTATTTATTTTTTATTATTTTATTTTTTACCTTTTATTATTTTTATATTCTTTTGCTGAAAATATTACTGAAAATAATAAATAAAATATTACATAACGTGCAAACTATATTTCTAGATCTTTTTTTATTTTTTTTTCTCACTTTTTGTTTTTTAAATTTTTAATAATAATAATAATAATAATAATAATAATGTTTAAAGAATGTTTAAATGTAAATGATGAATGAAGTTTAAATGGGGTTAGGCATATTAAATAATTTAAATGATTAGAAATTTCTCCAAAGAAGAATAATTTCGTTGATATCTATTTATGGATAAAATTTTAACTGAAAGAAGGATGAATGAATGTAATAAGATGTGTAAGAAATATACATTTGCTTGTAAGAATGAATGAATTGCTTCAAAAAAGAAAAAGTGAATAGTATTTACAGTTGATAAAGTAATAAAGTGGTTTGATATATAAAAGATTGATAGCATATATAGAATAATAATAAAGAATTATAATAAAGAATAATATAGATAATATAGAGTAGTAAAGAATAGTAAGGGATAACAGAAAATAGCATATAAGGAATAGTATTGGTATACGAAGAATATCAAAATAGAAAATTAAAAATAATGAATAACTTAAATGATGATGAAATGATGTGAAAAAAAATAAATAAATAAATAAATAAAAAAATTTATAATTCGGGACAAATAAAGAGAACAAATAAATATAGAATAGTGAAAAATGGTTATAAGGTCATCTGGCATTTTTTTTCCAAATTAAAAATAAAAGTTATTACAAAGCATTATCGTTATTTATCAATCTTCCCCACAAAAAAAAATGATGAAAGAAAAAAAAAAAAAAAAGAGAGGGAATATAGTTTAATCATTCTTTTACACTACAAATGTCTATATGAAATGTGATTCAGACTGAACTAGGAAACATCAAGGCAATAGATAAACTGTAACTGTAATTAGGCAGAAGGCTGCATTAAATCATTCTTTTTTTTTTATGATTTTCCCCCATTTTTACGTTAATTATCATTATTTTTTTTTCTTCCAAATAAAAAAAGATGTTCTTTAATCGTAGGATTTAATCTATCCAAAATGTGACACCAATATAATATTTATAATGTTTATTTAAATGGCGAAATGTAACAAGTTTAGGAATAATGGATTATAGATGGAATTAGATGGAATAGATGGAATATTGAAAAACAATGAGGAAAAAACAATAAGATAACCACATTGTCAACTTAAAACCGAATTTATTATTTTATTTTATTTATATATATATATATGTTATTATTTATTTATTTTTTTATTTATTTAGTGGTTTTATTTTTTATTATTTTATTTTTGTTTTTTATTTATTTTTTTTTTCTTCTTCATCAGGAAGAGAACATTATAACAGATAATGTTTTTTTTTTATTTTATTTTTAATGAATTGTCACACTAGCGTTATCACATTTAGCATTGTCTGAACCAAAATAATCTAATTAAACTATCGATCAAATACCATAATAATAGAAATTGATTCACAACCCATATTTCTTTGGTCAGAGCAAGAGGAAACTGGAATATCATACATTTCTTTATTATTATTTCCCCTATAATATATATATATTTATATATATCTATAATATCTATAATATCTATAATATCTATAATATCTATAATATCTATAGTATCTATATTATATATATTATATATATTATATATTATACTCTATAAATAAGCTCACAATTAATAATTTACAGCGCATTAAAAAGTTAATTTATAAAATAAAGATCGTAATGATCATTAATTCTAAAAGATCATCTTATGATCTTCAATTTTACCTATTAATTTATATTTGATAGTATATAATATATATAGTTCGATCACACATTACTACGCATTACTAAATATGTTTATTAAACAACATACACATATGACATAAGCAAAAAATGAATAAAGAATGAATGGAATAAATGGAATAAATAGAATAAAACAAAATAAAGGTATGATCTACTTTATTTATTGGATTTATTGGATTTATTGGATTTATTGGATTTTATTGGATTTTATTTTATAGGATTTATTGGATTTTATTGGATTTTATTTATTATTATTTTGTTATTTTATTTTTCAGTCACTGAATTTATTTTAATTTTTTCTTATTGGATTTTATTTATTTATTGTTATTGGATTTATTTAGAGCGTGGAAAAAAAAAATAAAAAATAAAAGAAATTCCATTAGTAAATGTAAAATAATGGATGAATGATAATAATAATAATGATAAATGAGAAAATCGACAATAATGATTTATTATAAAAATAAAAATATCCATAATTATTTCATATTAGTCTTTTTTTTTTTTTAATTTGTTAACGGAAAAAATCTCCCATATTATGGAAAGTTCCAAGCAACTTTAATATTCGCCTATTCAACTTATTTGTAAATTTGGCTTATATCGAATTAAATCGTATAGAATAAGATCATTATTTTAAATGTGTTAAATAGGTATCGGGTCTTTATGATTATTTATTATTTAATAATTTGTTATTTATCCTTTATTACCTTCATTATCTTCTTCACCCTTTTTATTATTATTATTTTGTATCTTTTTTTATCTTTATTTGTTGTTATTTTTTTTATTCATTGATTTGTTACTTTTATTAAACCGGGAAATGAATGATTAAAAGGATTCTTTTCTTCAAAGAAAGAAAAATTCAAACATTACATTACATTTGTAGTGTAACACCATTACAAGAATTGGATCAAGAATAAAACACGATTACTAAAAACCTGTCTTGTACAAGTAAAATAATATTATGTTCAATATATATTAATATATATAGTAAATATGTAATAAATGAAATATATGTATAAATATATGTATATATATTGATATACTTTAATATACTTTAATATACATATACTTTAATAGACTTTAATACAGTAGACATCAAATCTCCGATCCTAACATCCTAACATCCTAACTCGAGTATATAAAGATTAGGATGTATATATATCAAATATTAGGAAGTAAATGAAAGTCTAACAACCACAAAAATTTTGAAATTTTGCACAGTAAAATTTGACAATAATAATAGTTCTCATAATAGTTCTCGTAATGGGTAATAAAAATAGTAATTAATAATAAATAGGTAAGAGTAGTAGAACGTGTGATGATTTTATATTTATGTTCATATCTTAGTAGCATATAAATAATATAATAAAGATATAGTAGAATATAGAATATAATAAAATTTATTTATTTAATTATTATATCAATTATTACCTAAGAATATAAAAATAAAATCTCATCCCTTAAAATCCTTTAAATCCTTTTAATCGCCGATTGACTGCTTAATAAATAAGAAAAAATCGTATATATGCAAATTTTTTTTTGTGGAATAGCACCAGCAAACTTTTGGCTTTTTAGATAAATACACCCCATTTCCTTCGCTTTCGTTATTTTTTCGCTGTTTTCTTTCGCTTTAGTTTCATTTCTTAAACTTTTCTTCTTATAATAACTTTCGTATATTCTTCTATTATTACTTCGTTCTATTCCCAATTTTTAAAACCAATAAATTTTATTCCATTTTTTTTTTATTCAACTTTTTTATTCACACTTTTTTATTCACACCTTTTTTTATATTCCACTTTTATCCAACTGTTATTATTACTACTACTACTACTACTACTATTATTACTTCTATTATTATTATTTATACTAATCTACCGTTCCTTTAAAAAAATGAATGGTGACACTATTGAAAATAATTTTTATTCGAACGGAAAATCTGTATGTTCATTTTCTTCCTTTACTTTCAAAATTTCAAAATTCCAACTTTCAACTTTAACAAAGGTATATTATACATTATTTCTTATAGCACGTTGAACCAAACGATATTATGGTCGAGAGTGTGTTTGCAAATTTCTCAAACTTTGGGAAACAAATCGCGGATCTAAATTCATTTATTCAGGTAAGTTTTTTTTTTTAATTATTACATTTTTTTTTTGATTTGGGAACTAACTTTTGTATCTATTATTTAACATTATTATTATTATTATTATTACATTATTATTTTAATATTATAAAAATTTTTATAGAAAAAAGACGACCAAATTAAGCATTTAACCGAGAGTTTAGCCGAGTCAACAAAAGAAAATGCTCGCCTAAAAGCTCTATTGGTATGTATTTATAAAGTCCTACCATTCTCATCATTCTCACCATTCTCATCATTATCATCATTATTATTATTCTTATTATTATTATTATAATAATAAAAATAATGAATAATAATGAATATGGTTAATAATAGAATAAAATATAATGAATAATAATGAATAAAATAAATAAATAAATAATAATAATAATAATAATAATAAATAATAATAATAATCATCATCATTATTACAATTATTGTAATTATTATTCTCACTAGTCACCCGACCAATTTTTACCAAGTCGCAGTGACATACGACAAAAGTTTCAAGAAATTAGAAAGGCCGTTGAAAATTTTGATAAATTAATTGAGGAATCACTTTCATATGAGGTTGGTATTAATATATGAAAATTTTATTTATTATATTCTTTTATTATTTTTACTATTATTTTTATTATTTTACACTATCTTTTTGATTTTTAGCCTACTACGTCAGCCAGAAGTATTCTTTTACAGGGAATAAACAATTCAAATGTTGAAGGTATATAATTATAATTTATTAGATCATATATATATATATATATATATATATCTATATCTATATCTAAAGCTTAAAATATCTACAGCTTAAATACCCAAAGCTTATACATATTATTTACTGATTATTTATGTATGATTTTTCTTTATTAAAAAGTACCTTCCGAACAAGAACCTAATACTCGTCCTTCCGACGAACGTGATACAGCGGCATCATCTAATATTCATACTGCACTTAACCATGTAAATTATGAATCTGATATGGCATTTGGTGTATGTTGAATATTATCTTATCAAAGTTTTAATCTAAATAATCATTAATTATTAATTAATTTATAGCGTGCCCAAGAATTTCGACCACGTAACGAAAACGATGTTATGGATGTTACCGATATGAATTTACATTTACCAACATCACTACCATTTAATAATAATAATAATAATAATAATAATAATAATAATAATAATAATAATAATCACCAATCACACCGTAGATTTCAAAATAATGGATCATTATCCAATATATCTATAACAAATGGAATAACTACTAATAATTTGATTAATGGTACAAATAATTATAATAATAACAATAACAATAGAACTAATAACAGAAAGGTATGAAATTTATTAATAAATTATAAATATATATAAATAAATATATAAATGTATAAATAAATATATAAATATAAATATATATAAATATAAATATATATATATTATATTTATATTATATTTATATATTTAATCGTTACTTTAGCAGGTCAAATTTGAAAAGAGCACTTTTTATTATTATAATAATAACCATGATACCAATTCACAGCAATACACCGTTTTCGTTTCATGGTCCGGTACCATGGATTGGGAGGGTCTTCAAAATCTATTTGACCAAAATGAAGTAATAATTATTTTTATTATTATTATATTGATTATTATGATTGTTTATTATTATTTTCGTTAAACAATTTCTTATACTTTTTTTTTTTTTTAATGTTTGTTTAAAGGTCGCTGATATTCGATATACGACGAATAAACAATTTGCGCATGTCGATTTTAAGTCACCCGAGGCAATGAGAAAAGCCATAGAGCTAAATAGCAAGGTTAATATTATTTATTTTAATTTTAATTTTTTAATATTTAAAATTTAAATATATTTTTTTTTTATTTATTTAATAAATTTATTTCTTTTTAGACTAAGAATCCACACGGTTTATTACGGGTGGAAGCCGGTAAACCGAAATCCGCTAATAATAATAATAATAATAATAATAATAATGGTATTTATATATTTTATATATATCTAATAATAATAATTTATTATTTAAAGATTAATTATTTTTCATTAATTATTTTATCTAATTAAATAGATAATAATAACAATAATAATAACAATAATAATGGTGGTTTACGACACCAAAATAAACCGTATAATACAAATCGACCACAAAATAAAAACGGTAACACAAACGGTTATGTTCAAAAACAACATAATAACAACAAATATCAATATCCTAATCCTCATACTCATAATAATATTCACAATAGTAACCTTCATAATAACATTCATAGTAATAACCTTCATAATAACCACCTTCATAACCCTCATTTATCACAAGAAGAGAAAGATCATCGCATTAATGGTTGGAATAAAATTCTTCCTGATTCGTCTTCAATAGTGACTCAGGGCGCGACGACACCATCAAATTCTGTTGCGACTAGCTCCAATTAAAAACAAAACAAATCAATTAATAATTCATGATACACATATAGTCTATTTTCTCTCTTCAGGATTATAGACGATAAAATGATGAGATTTTTTTTCTGATTAAGGGGGTTTAAAGGGATTTTAGATTATTTTTATTTTTAGGATTATATTTTTATTTTTATCCTTATTATTTTCATTTTTATTTTTTTTATTTTTTTAGTTTTCATTTTTTTTTATTTCATTTGTGATTTCATATTCTATTTTTTTATTATTTCATTTTTTTTTTGATGGGATTATTTTTTTTAGAATCATATTATGAAATTAAAATTATTGAATTTATTTGAATTTATTTGAACGCATAATGTTTTCATCAAAAAAAAAAACAATTACATAATTTACATTATATATATATAAAATATAAATATTACATTAAATTTAAAAAGATTTTTCTCATTTTTTTTTAAAAAAAAAAGTTCAATTATAAACATTTAATTCTTTATTTTTTTTTATTTTTTTTTTATTTAAAATAGTAATAATATCATAATAATCATAATAAATATTTAAATATTAAATTATATTTTAGTTAATACAATTTCTAACTTTGATTTTTATTATTAAATAAAGTATTTTATTAATTTTCATAATATTAATCTCGTGCCCGTATGACAAAAAAATAGTACTTTATATTGATCTATAAATAGCTACGCCTGAATGCATACATTTGAAGCAGTAGAAATTGATTGGACAGCTTAGAACTTTTCCGCTGATCAACTTTATTATCTGATAGAAAGTTGTATAGACAATATAGAATGTATAGAGTTGGGTAACAAAAATTTGCACGACCGAGAATACGACAAATACCACAAAAACATAAAGGCAAAGGAAGCCCTATTATCGGTACCTTTCTTCGCAATCGTATTGGATATCTTTCTTTCTCTTTTATATCTGCTTGTTTTTTTTTTTTTTGTTTTTTTTTTCTCTTAATTTTATTTTGCGTGTTTCTACCCTTTTTTCGTGTTTTTTTTTTTTTTTTTTTTTTTTTATTCTCCCCGTGATCTTTTTTTTTTTCTTTTTTCCATCGATCCCTTTGTTCAACAGAATTTTCTTAAAATCTACATACATACATGATGTTACCACAGAGTGCTAGATCCATTAGGAAAAAACGAAATATAAACTTAATACTTAATAGTTCCCCAATTATTCAACAACAACAACCACCGAGAAATAGTGCGGACGATGGGTTATCTCAACGTTTAACCGATTTAGAATTTGGGCTAGAGTTTAGACTTGATTTGAAATCTGAGGATTTGATACCATTAAAAGAACTTGGTGCGGGTAACGGTGGAACAGTTTCGCAGGTTATGCACGTTACTACAAAAACTGTAATGGCTAAGAAGGTACAGAAAAGATGGTCGGGTGATGCTTGATTTGTACTTAACCGAATTTATCTTCTTTGATCTAAATTTTAAATTATTAATAAAATTATTAATATAATTATTAATATAATTATTATTTTGTATATTACATTCATTCATTCATTTCATTCATTCTTTCATCCATTCATTCATTCATTTCATTCATTCTTTCATCCATTCATCCATTCATTTCATTCATTCTTTCATCCATTCATTCATTCATTTATTATTATTATTATTATTATTATTATCATCATCATTATTATTATTAGATTATTCATATTGATGTTAATCCAAATGTTCGTAAACAAATTCATCGGGAACTTCAGATTCTTCATGACTGTAATTCGAGATATATTGTTTCATTTTATGGTGCATTTATAACTGATTCAGATATTTCAATGTGCATGGAATTTATGGATGTTGGGTAAATTTAATTTGATTTGATTAATTTATTTTTCTTTAATTTTTAATTTTATAACTATTTTATTTATATATTTAGTTCGCTTGATGATATTTACAAGAAGAATGGGCCTGTTCCTTTAGGAATATTAGGAAAGATTACATTAGCAGTATGTGGATAATTAAACATCATATTTATTAGTTTATTGGTTGGATTAAAATTTAAAGTAATAAAATTTTCCTAATAAAGTAAAGAAATTTTTCATCTTTTTTTTAGGTATTAGAAGGACTGAATTATTTGTATGAAAGTCATCGAATTATTCATAGAGGTAAGAATATAAATTATATTTTTATTTTAAAATTATATTTTTATTATATTTTTAAATTATTATTTATATTATTTTATTATTATCATTTATATTATTTTATTATTATTATTTATATTATTTTATTATTATCATTTATATTATTTTATTATTATAATTTATATTATTTTATTATTATCATTTATATTATTTTATTATTATCATTTATATTATTTTATTATTATCATTTATTTTATTTTCTTATTTATCATTTATTTTATTTTCTTATTTATCATTTATTTTTATACAGATGTAAAACCTTCCAATATTCTCGTCAATTCAAAAGGGCAAATCAAAATCTGTGATTTTGGTGTGTCCGGCCAACTTATTAATTCAATTGCAGATACCTTTGTAGGGACATCAAATTATATGTCTGTAAGTTTTGAATGCCAAAATTATTTTAAAGTTTAAATAAATTTTTCTTTAAATAATATTAATTTTTTGTTCTAATTTAATTGTAGCCTGAACGTATTCAAGGTGCTTCTTATAGCGTAAGGTCGGATGTTTGGTCAGTTGGAATTACTTTGATGGAATTGGCACTAGGTCGATTTCCTTTCCCACCAGATGGTAGTCAATTAACTGTCTTGGAACTTTTACAACATATTGTGAATGAACCTGCTCCCATGTTACCTGCAGGTGAATTCCCAGAAGACTTTCGTGATCTCGTTGGAAAATGGTGAGTTAAAATTAGACCATTAATTATATTAATGATATATTAATTTTTTTGGCATTTTTTTTTTTAAGTTTAATTAAAGATGTTAACACGCGACCATCGCCCAATGAATTATTGGTGAATATTTAATTTAAATATATATATATATTCTGTTATTTTATTTGCATATTGATTTTTAAATTTTTTTGTTTTGTTTTGTTTTTTTTTTTAAAAAAAAGAAACATGCTTATGTTAAAGCATCAGCTGAAGCTCAAGTAGATGTTGAAGCATGGGCAAAATGCATTAAAAGATAAATTTACTGTAGAAGGTATGAGACCTAGAAATGATAAATATCTATTATTTAAAGATTTTATTCGTGTACAAAAAAAGTTATAAATAAGAAAATATGGTGAACTATATTCCTGAATGATTATCTATATATAGTAGTTGAATGTCACTTTTGGGTTTCTGATTATTATTATTTTTTTTTATTTGAAATTATTGTGAAATAGATTTTATCGGATTATTATTTTTCGAGATGCGTTTCTTTTTTTTTTTAATTAGAACGCTTTTGTTAATATTACTATATATTTGAATTGAAGAGACAAAAAAAAAATATTTCTTCGATGAAATTATAATTTATCATCATTATATTTTGTATTTTAGCACCATATTTTAAAGTTTCATTTTTTTTGTTATTACACCAGTTCTGAAATCCTGCATCTTTCTTTTTTAATCGATAGATAGGTTTTTCAATAAATTATATTTATAATCCATAAATTCTGCCTCGTGATATTAGTGATATTTAGTGATATTAGTGATATATTAGCGATATTACCAGATTTATAACATTTATAACATTTATAACATTTAACACTTATAACATAAATTTTATATAATTTTTTTTTTTTGGGACAATGATTAATTAAATAAAAATAATAGAAATAACAAAACAGAACAATAATATAACAAAATGGAAATAAAATAAAAATAAAAAATAAAAAATAAAAAATAAAAAAAAAAATAAAAAATAAAAAATAAAAAATAAAATAAAAATAAAATAAAATAAAAAATGCACCAATCAAACTTTGGAATAACGTTAGTCAAGAAAATGTTCAAATGTTTGAAAGTACCCTCAAATTTTATCACTTTTTACTACCCCCATCAACGAGGAAAAACAAAAAAAAATTTTATTCAGGCGACCCGAGAAAAGCCCCCTCTCTCTGTTTAAAGTCGGGATAAACAAGCCTTTACTCTTCCCCGCTCAATTTTTCCATATTCCTTCCCAACTATATTTTCTTTCCTTATTTTTTTTTTATTTCTCTTGTATCACTTCCTTTTCTATCCCCCTTATATTTTATCATACTGTATAATCTGTCGAAAGAAGGGTACAACTAATTATATTATAATTAACTCTTCATTAGCTTTCGGTTTCATCGCCTTTAGAAACCTTTGCACTGTCAAATATTTCAACGATAGCAAAAGGTGGTCTTTTTTTTTAATAACTAAACTGCGGACAACTCGGAGAATAAAGTTATTTTTTGTACTCATAGAAACAATATAACCCTTTGTCCACTTGTGTATAAATATAAACATTATTATTTTTTTTCTATATAATAAAAGCATTATCATAAATTATATGCAAATATAATCCCATTTTTCATAAAAAAAGTTGCTGGACGACATGCATATGCCTTATGGGACGCGAACGGCGGGTAGTTCAGTAACAAGAAATCAGAAAGCCAAGGTATTATATTTACCTAAAGAATTATATTTTACTTAAAAAATGTTTAACATTATTTATTTATTTTTTTTGTTGACTTCTTTAAAACAATTCTACATATTTTTTGACACCATTTAAAGCTTGCCGCTGATTACCAAGAATTATTAAAAGAACTATCAACACCTGAAATAAAATGTGTTGGAAATTATGTTCTGGAGAATACACTTGGTGAAGGTAGAAAATTAAATTAAATTAAATTAAATTAAAGAATTTACAATAAATTTTTTTTTAAAAAAATTTCTATAGTCAATGTATATTTATATAAACTGATTTCAACAAGTTAATATCATTTTTTAGGATCATATGGAAAGGTCAAACTAGCAACACACAAAATTACTGGTCAAAAGGTAGTTTTAGACCATATTTCGGGTTCAACTATCAAAGCTTTGGTTAATTATCTCTCCTTCGTTTAGGTGGCAATAAAAATAATACCCAAAATTCATGCCGAAAATCTCACTCGCGAAATACATCATCACAGATATTTACACCACCCAAACATCATTTCTCTACTCGAAGTTATAACAACTGAAGCCAAAATATTTATAGTATTGGAGTATTGTGAAGGTGGAGAATTGTTTGATTTTTTATTTGCTCGTGGAAGACTGAGAGAAAGTTTAGCAAGAAAAATGTTTGGACAATTATGTAAAGCAGTAAAATATTGCCATGACAGAAGAGTTGTTCATAGGTAATTATTTTGGTTTTATTATTAATTTTATTATTAATTTTTATTATTATTCTTCATTTATTTATTCTTTTTAAAAAAATATCATAATTACTTTTAAAATTTTAGGGATCTTAAACTTGAAAACATTCTTCTGGATGAAAACAATAATATAAAATTAGGAGATTTTGGTTTCACCAGAGAATGTGAAAATAAAAGATTGTTGGAAACAATTTGTGGGTCAACAGGGTATTCAGCACCAGGTAAAGATTATTATTTTTTTTTTTTTATAATTATTTTTTCTTTAAAATTTAACTAATTTTTGTAAATTTTTTTTATTATTAGAAATGCTCAGTGGAAAAAAATATTCCGGGATAGGTAAATTTGTTTATTAATATTAATAATAATAATAATAATAATAATAATATTATTATTATTAAATTAATTATTATTAATTAAATAAATTATTTTATGAAATTATGAAATTTATAGAAGTTGACATATGGTCTCTTGGTGTTATACTCTATACACTTCTTTGTGGGGTGTTACCTTTTGATGATGATGATGAAAATGAAATGAAATCGAAAATAATAAAAGGAGAATATGAAATGGAAGAGTTTTTATCAAATGGTAATTTATATTATTATTTATATTATTATTTATATTATTATTTATATTATTATTATTATTATTATTTTCACATTTCTTATTTCATATTACCTTTATCAATATTTTTAATATTTTTATTTCCAATTATTTCCAATTATATTTAATTAATTTAATTTAATTTAATTTAATTTAATTTAATTCATTTCTTTAAAATTTAATAAATGATTATAGAAGCTAAAGACTTGATTAGTTCAATATTAAAATTAGAATCTTCCGAGCGATTATCGTTAAAACAGATTTTACAGCATCCATGGTTTTCAATAAAGGATGATGACGATGACGATGACGATGATTGGGATACAACTGATGATATAGATGATTTCGATTCTATAATATCAAATGAAGATAATATTAAACCAATGACAATCATCTCACAATCAAAAGAAAAGAATAGTGATATAAATCATTTTGAATATCTTGAGCGACAACGACAAGAAATTTTTCAATCCAATAAAAATTCATCAACAAATAATCAAAATCAAATGACATTTAATAGATATAATAAAATTGAGAAAGAAAATACAACAATTGTACCTTCAGCATTTAAAACACGATTTAATGGAATTGCATCTTCCTCTAATCAAGTTTGGGAACCTTCACCATTACCACCAAAAGTTACACGAAGATCTTCAGTTAGTAGTAAAACTCTTAATGAGAAAATATTCTTTACAACCCCCGAAGAAAAAGAATTATTGGAAAAGTTTGATAGTTTGGGTTTAAATATTCAATCAATAAAAAATAGTGTTTTGGAAGGTAAAGTGGATCCAGTTAGTGGATTATGGTGGTTATTATTAAATAAATTAAGGGAAAAGAAAAAATTAGAAGGAACACAAAATTTAGTAACAATGGTTGATGTAGCTGTTGGTACTAGTGATGAAGAAATAGAATTAATGGATGATATGGAAATAGAAGAAGAAATAGATTATATGGATTCACCTATAGATTATAAAGTAGATAAAAATTCTGGAATAGAAAATTCTACAAAAGTTCAAAAAGAAATAATACCACCTACTCCTCCACCCAAAACATATCATTCTGCACCAGCTTCACGTGAAAGACGAAAATCTTTGATACTTTCATTACCTGAAGCAGTTGAACCTGTTTTAACGACTATTACAGCTACAGCTTCTCCTCCTTTATCACCAAAAAAGTATTCATCATTTACAAGTCCATTAAGTTCTAGATCAGTAAGTCCTTTACCAACTGCACATAGATCAATATCAAAACCTAATAATAATAATAATAATAATAATAACAATAATAATAATAGTAACAATAATAATAATAATCATAATCATAATAATAATAATAATAATAATAATAATAATAATAATAATAATAATAGTAGTAGTAAAAATGGTCATAAAAAAAAAGGAGGTTTATTTTCAACAATTAAAGGATGGTGGGTTGGAACTAATCATCATCCAAAAGATTATAAAAAAGGTTGGACTGAAAATGGAATAATTGTTCCCGCTGAACTTTTACATGCAAGATCACGTAAAACTTCACCAGGTTTTGATGGAATTAATTTTCAAAGAAGGGCTTCAATAATTTCACATGGATCAATAAAAGGGAAAAAAAAGAATAGAAATTCTTTACAAGGTAATAAAAGTCGACGTTCTAATCTTGCACCATTAACGATACCTCCTGTTACACCATCCGTTGTTCTTTCACAAAATTCACCTACCGGAATGTCACCTATTCCTGGTACACCACCAGCTGCCAGACCTAAAACGATGTTTACAATAAATCGTAGAAATCCATTTGCACATCCAAATTCTTCATGGGGACGTAAACAAGTAAAAAGACGGAGTACAGGTGGAAGTTCAATAAATCAACTTGTGGAAAATTTAAATTCTATTAATAATGAAATTACTTCATCGAACAATAATAATGATAATAATGATGATGATAATAATTATAATAATAGTAATAATAATAATAGTAGTAATAGTAGTGGTAACAATAACAATAGTAATAATAACAATAATAATAATAATAATCATAATCACAATAACAATAACAATAACAATGACAATAAAAGTAAAAATAAAAATAACAATGAAACTTTAAATTTGATAGAGAACATTTCTACTTATATAGAAAATAATAAAAAAGTGATATCAAAAATAGACGAACAATCCATAATTGTAGAATCATCAAAATCGGAACCTATCATTATAGCATCTCCTCCATTAACTCCATCACCCACTTATCAAAATATAAATAATGAACCTTCTTTGTCTATAAATGAAAAAAATGATAAAATTGATTCACCGAAAGTAAAAAAATCACCAAAAGTAGAAAAATCATTTAAAGTAGAAAAATCACCAAAAGTAGAAAAATCACCCAAAGTAGAAAATTCATCCAAAGTAGAAAAAGTAGATAAGATAACAGAGGTTAAGAATATAGAATCTAGTGATGATGGTGAGGAATCTGATATATTTGTTGATGCTGCAAGTGAAATCGCATCTCATCAATCACGTACTCCTTCTCGTACTCCTTCACCTTCGCCATCTACATCTACCACCGCACCTCCATCACCTAATGCTTCACCTATATTTAAACCTGATGGTAATAATAATAATAATACTAATACTACTACTACTACTACTACTACTACTATTATTATTAATCCAATATCATTTCCTACACCTCCATCTCGTCAAAATTCACCTTTTTCATTATCCTCAATACCTTCATTATCTATTACCACTTCTATACCTACTCAATTATCTCAATCTTCAAAAATTCCAGTATCTCCACCTTTGTCTCCTACGAAAGGTAATAAAGAAATAACTACTTCTCTTCCATTTTCATCAAACAGAAATCATACAAGGTTGCCATCATTCCCTCCTCCTAATACAATGATATCAAGAGTAAAAGGAAAGAATTCAGAGACAAATACAGAAAGACCTCATCAATCTGTATTTAACTTTATGTCTACATCTACAGAGTCATCTCCTGTTTGTAAACATTCTCAATCACGTCAATATCATAATCATAATCATAATCGTACTCAATCTTCACCTGTTACGCTTATTAAAAATGTTGATGAAATTGAGAATAATATTAAGAATGAAATTAAGAATGAAATTAAAAACATTGATATTATATCTAAACAGAGAAAACAATTTGAAATACTAGAATCTGGATCAAGAAAAGATTTATCTCCTTCACTTCCAAATATTATTAATATTCCTAATAATTCACGTAATCCCTTACAAAATAGAATACCAAGAACAAATGTTAGGAATGAAAAGCACAATTCCAATAGTAATAATAATTTGACTAGTGTAAGACGTCAAAAAATGAACTCCCCATCAAAACCTGCGATGATTAAGGAAGAAGAAGAAGAAGGCGAATAATGCACAAACTTTAACAAAAAAGGATGCAATTTATCGTAAAAAAGTATTAATTGTTGTATTTTTATTTTGTTACTCGAACAGTAAAATCATTATCTTTTTTTTTTTTTTCTCTGGTTTCTATTTATTTTCCATTAAAAGTATTTCATTATTAATTTGTCATTTTTTCGTGTTTATTCATTTTGAATCCGTAAAATCCTATAATTTTCCTTTTTAAAAAAAAAAATTATTTCAAAAAAAAAAAAATCACTTTTAATGATTTTCATTTTTTTGTTTTTTACATATATAATTTGTTTTAAAAAAAAAATAATAAATCAAAATTATCTCTATTTCAAAAAAGTAAATAAAAATATATTTTATTATCATAATATTATAACAATTATTATATACAGTACATATGTATTCTAATTTTTACTTAAAATAATAATATTTTATTATGTGGTGGTGTGCTACACAAAGTTTCCAAGAAACCCAAAAATGAATGTTATGATAAAATCTGGGGGACAGATAAATTAGATAAATTAATGGGGTCTGTTGCATTCTGTTACACTACTGATTTGTACTTATCCTTTCTTTTATTATTTAAAGAAATAATATTATAAATATTGAATTCTATTAATTCTATTAATTCTATTTTTGTTAATTGTTTGTACATTTAATATTACTTGTTAAAGTTATTCATAATATTTCCTTTTCAATATTGTCATATATCTTTAGCATTATTATTTACTATAGTTAATTTTACAAAATTTTAAACAAAATAAATAAATTTTTCTTAATTGATGTATAAATTTATAATTAATTAAATCATTAAACGAGTACTTTTTAAAAAATATCTTAGAAATTATGCTTAAACAGAAAAAAGAAAATTTTTTTAAAAAAAAATCAAAGGAAAATTCACCAAAGAGAATTTTAAAGAAAAGTATTAAAATTTCCAATTTCTAAGGAAAATTAATTCCATTGATTAAGTCAAATTCATAATCATTATTACGTTGTCGTCTACATAGACGCCTTTTGCAATTTTTATTAATATAATTTACTTTATTTGCCAAAACTTCGAATTTTCTTTCTTGATCGGATGATGAGGAAATCCAAAGATCACGACAAAGGTCTTTTAATGATGTATTGGTTGGAAGTGTAATGACTTTCATCTTTAAAGAAAATTCCAATTGTATAAATAAGACGTTTTTCCCATTTATTGGTACTTTGTTTCCTCTTCTATAGTTAATAATTTCTTGAGCATTCATTTCTAATAACGACATTAAATTCATTATTGAGAATTTTTTGTGAAAATGTGATTTATTAAAAATTAAAATTATTTTTTAAGAGTAAATTGGGAATGAGGAATTGAATCAGATCAAAGCCTTTTTATAATTGAGTGATTTGTTATTATTAATTATTAATTACTAATAATAATAATAATAATAATAATAATAATAATAATAATAATTATTATTATTATTATTATTATTATTATTATTCAATTATTAATAATTATTATTTATTATCCATTAGCATTTTATTTAATTATATTTACAAAAATAATAATTAGATAATTAGAAAATAAATAGTAGAAACTCAAAATGATAAAAATATCTTTGTTAAAAATAAAATTCATTTTACTATGCAGTAGATCTAGGATTTCGATTATAACATAATGACATGTGGCCAATGCCTATTTATTTATATTTAATAGAATTTTGATGTTGAATATGGTTAAGTCATTAAAATCCAATATTTCAACTTAAAGGATTCAATTTGATGGGATGATTCAATTTGTCTGACAAATTTATCATCGAGAACAAAGAAAATAAATGATCTTTTAAGCTTGTATATATTTGGACAACGCTTATCTGACCTAATCATTATATTTAATATATTTAATTATATTCCTTAATATTATTTAATATTATTTAATTTGTTGAGTTACGATCTGAATTAGTTAAGAATTACGTCAACTTATCAGATTGTAATGCATTAAGTGCATAAAGTTTATTTACAAAAAAATCTGATTACCTTATTTAGGGAAATCTGATTATTTTAAAAATACAATTCCCCTGATTTTTCCGATTTCGTAAATCTTTCCTCCCTTTCCTTCCTTTCTGTTTTTTTTTCTTTAATTTATTAAAAGAATCAAGAAAAATGTCGGTCACACCTCTTATTTCTCAACGAATTGTTAAACCAACATATACTCAATTGGATACTCGATCTTCTTCTTCTATGGAAATACCCGAAGAAGAAAGAGGTACTTAATTGACGTGATTCAGATATAAGCGACCTTGACCTCCTTTTAAACAAAAATGTTTAACTGTACCAAAAATCAAATTACGTAATTAGGTTCCAGATCTTTTTCTTCCAATGGAAGAGACGATATATATAAAGATGATGAAAATTTTGGATGTGAAGCTGATATAACTGAAAAACCTTGGAAATATAAAATTGTTGCCTTGATTTGTGCTTTATCTTTAGCTGGCACGTATGAGAAATATTACCTTTTTAAAAAATGACATTTTAATGAAATCCTCATATATATATATAATATAATATATATATGCTTACTAAATTACAGTTGGGAGTCATTATGCCGCTCATACTCTTGGTGCTTTGAAAGCTGTCGTCAAAGAAGTAATTTCTAATTTTATTAATTATTTGATTATTTCACTATTATCTTTAATTTTATTTTAATCAAATTATTCTAATTGATCTAATTAATCCATCGTTCGATTTCCCATTTCTATTTTTAAATATAGGAATTAGGAATTTCAAACTCACAATATGGAATCATACAATCCTCTGTTTCATTGGTGAATACCATTATACCAATTATTGGAGGTATTTTTATTGATACCTTTGGTACATCGGCTGGATCAATTTTGGCTACAAGTTTGATTACTATAGGAAATATTATAGTAGCAGCTTCTACGGAATTAGCTTCATTTCCTTTGATGGTAGTTGGTAGAATTTTGTATGGTATTGGAAGTGGAACTATTGTCACGATTCAAATTGCTATCTTGAGTCATTGGTTTAAAGGAAAAGGATTGGCGATTGTTATCGGCGTACAAATTGCAATGGCTAGATTGGTATGAATTAATGATGTTATGAATAAATTTAAATTATAAAATATTGAAAATATATATATATATATATGTATATATGTATGTATATTAAGGCGGCGTTTCTGGCAAATGCAACCGTTGTTCCAATTTGGAAACATACTGGATTTTATGGTTGGGCATTTTGGGTAATTAATATTTTTTTTATCTTTTATTTATTCAATTTCTTCAAAATAAATCTAATTTTTTTATTTTTTATTTTTTATTTTTTATTTAATAGTTCGCGGCATTTTTGTGTGTAATTTCTTTTTCAATCAACATAATATATGTATTTTTAATGAGAATTATTCATGAAAGTCTTTCTGAGCAAGAACTAAATAAACTTAAAGAAAAGAGGTCATTTAGTCCAAGAAAATTATTGTTCTTGCCAACAATTTATTGGATCGCAACATTGTTGGAATTTACATTGGGCAGTTCTTGGACTTCATTTTTGCATATTCATACGTATGTACATTATTAAGAATTCGTGCTTTTTTTTCTGAATTTATTATTTTTTGTATAAATCTTTTGTATTTTTTTACTCTTGTTGACAGAGAATTAGTAAAAACTAGATGGAATAGTACAGATGAAGTTGCAGCGTATGATTCCAGTGTGGCTCAATTTTTACCAATATTTATATCACCTTTTCTTGGTTATTTGTTGGATAGATTTGGTTATAGAACTTTTGCTTGTAAGTCATATCAAACCATCCAAATATATATTTATTTATTTATTTATTTATATTTAAGGAAGGATTACAAGGATATAAATATTTAAAGATTATAAGGATATAAATATTTAAAGATTTAAGGATTTAATCATGAATCATTTCGATTAATTGATTTTATTTATTTTTTTTCATCCAGTAATCACTTCCACGGCTTTCCTTTGTTTATCAATGTATTTTCTTGGTTTTACTCTTGTATTCTCACCAATAATTGGAATGTTTTGTTTCTCGGTATCACTTTCTTTTGGGCCTGTCGCATTACTTTCATCGATTCCAATCCTATTACCATTAGAATATATTGGAACAGGATTAGGAATAATAAAATCCACTTCAAATATTGGTGCTACATTATATGATATCTTTGTTGGTATTTTACAAGATAAAGATAAAGGTCAATATAGATTGGTAATGAAATTATATTTAGTTACCGGTTTTGTTGCGTTATTGGTTTCCACATTTTTATCAATATCAGTTAAAAAATGGTATCATGGAGTGTTGGATATGAAAGACACCGAACGAAATCAATATTATGAGGACAAAAGAAAAAAAAATGAACCTCAATCAAAAGAACCATCAAAAAGGAATTGGATTTATATCATAATTTTTATTAATACTTTGATCCTAAGTTGGGTTTTGTTCTTCTTCTATATAATCAATCGTCCAAAATCGGGACTTCAGGGTTCAGATTAATTTATTTTGGAACAAAATTACATTACAATTTGTTTATTTATTTATTTATTTGTCCATAAAGTAAAATACATAACAGTATTTTATTTTATTTATTTATTTATTTATTTGTCTATAAAGTAAAATATATAACAGTATTTATTTTATTTATTTACTTATAAATGTAAAATATATATTTATTTATAAATGTATTGTTATCCTTATTTTATTGATATTACTAAAGATGTAATATATATATAAGAAATTTAAATTACTAAATAAGATGTTGAAAGATAGTCACCAGATCTTTTCAATAAATTCTCACGCTTTTGTCATGTAAATATTTATCAAACAATGATTTAATAAATATTTATTTTTGATCTTAGCACGTTGATGAGTAAAAGATTTAAATAGTAGGTTTTATTTGATTAAAAATTAAATTAGAAAAAATTAAAAATTTCAATTTGCAAAAATTCATTCATGGAATATCAAGCTCGAATTAATAGTATCAAAAATTCATATAATCGACCAATTCGTGAAGTTCAAATTCCTCAAAAAGATGGAAAACCTATGTATACTTCTGAATTCTTTGGATCCAATGTTTTCTCCTTTAAAACTTTGGAAAAAAGGTTGCCAAAACCGGTTTATCAATGTTTCATCAAACAGATGCGTGGTAGGCAAGTAATGGATAAAAATACGGCAGATTCGGTAGCTCATGCTGTAAGGATTTGGGCGATGGATAGAGGTGCCACTCATTTTACTCATTGGTTTCAACCTCAAACTGGAAGTACTGCTGAAAAACATGATTCATTCTTAACTTTAAAAAGTAATTTTAGTTCTCAAGGTCATGAGGTAAATTTTTTCATTTCAAATTTTCTTTCTAATATTTCTAATATTCTTAATGTTTTTTAATCTGATTATTATTATTTTAATTAATCAATAATTCATTCATTTAATTAAATCATCCAAATTTATTCAATCTTTCATTTCTCTAATCTTTCATTTATTCAATCATTTATTTAATCTTTTCGTTTTTTTTTTAAGATCACACCCATAGATGCTTTCTCGGGGTCTCAGCTTCTTCAAGCCGAACCTGATGCTTCATCTTTTCCATCTGGTGGAATGCGCACGACTTTTGAAGCACGTGGTTATACTGTTTGGGACACCACAAGTCCTATGTTCGTTCGAGCTGGGCCTCATGGTACTTCCGTACTTTACATTCCTTCAATTTTCATATCTTATAATGGTGATGCTTTAGATGAAAAAACTGTCTTATTAAGATCTTCTGAGGCGATATCCAAAGCTGCTGTTGAACTTTTGGAATTGATTGATTCTCCAACTGGTATTTTTTTTTTAAAAAAAAAAAAAAAAAAACTTTTTTTTTATCATAAAATCTATAAATATGATGATTATATACTCGTTACAATTTTTTAATTACATAAAATTTTTATTTGTTAGAGGAAAATTCGACAGTTTCACACATTTACACTACTTTAGGAGTCGAACAAGAATTTTTCTTGATAGATCGTGAATTATGCGGATTACGCAAAGATTTGAAAATAACTGGTCGTACTTTATTTGGTCGTCTGCCTCCTAAACATCAACAACTAGAAGATCATTACTTTGGAAAAATGCCGACACACATTTTATCTACAATTAGCGAAGTTGAACTCGAATTAATTAAATTAGGTGTCCCTGTGAAAACAAGGCATAATGAAGTTGCCCCCTCTCAATTCGAAATGGCACCTATATTCGAAAATGTACGAATTCTTAATTAATTTTATTATTCCATTCTTTTAATTAATTTTATTATTTTTAAATTAATTTTATTATATTGATTATTTTGTTAGTCTTCCATTGCAGTTGACCACAATTTATTGATTATGGAAGTGCTTCATAGAGTTGCACATCGTCATAACCTCGAAGTACTCTTTCATGAAAAACCTTTCAAAGGTATTAATGGTTCTGGAAAACATTGCAATTGGTCACTCTCCACTGATTATGGGGAAAACCTTTTGGACCCTACTAATTCTCCTGAAAAGAATGATCGGTTCCTTTTCTTCTTGATTGCTATTCTTAATGCTGTATATGTACATGCCGGTCTTTTAAGGCTAGGTGTAGCTTCAGCTTCCAATGATCATCGCTTGGGTGCTAATGAAGCTCCACCAGCTATTATTTCAATTTTTCTTGGTAAACATTTGACTGAAGTTCTTGATTCCATAGAGGAAGATCGTACAATTAAATATTCCCTACCACATGTTGAAAGGATTAAAGTTGGTGGTACGGCGATAGATGTCAAGATCTCGTCACTTCCCGAAATTTTACGTGATTTAACTGACAGAAATCGTACATCCCCTTTCGCATTTACTGGTAATAAGTTTGAATTTCGTGCAGTTGGTTCAAAACAATCAACATCTTTCCCAGTTACATTACTAAATGCAGCAGTAGCTTCTTCTATTCAAGAAATTATTGAAGCACTTAAAAAACAAAAGGGAAACAAAGATTTACTTACGGATGAAGATAAATTGATCGTTTTAAGATATTATATAAAAAAGACTAAACCTATTAGATTTGATGGTGATAATTATTCCAATGAATGGATTGAGGAAGCAAAAGTTCGAGGATTACTTAACTTAAAAAATTCACCAGCAGCATTTTCTCAATTACTTGAACCAATTCACGCTAATATGCTCATGAAAGATGGAATTTTTTCAGAATCTGAAATTCATTCACGTCATAATATTCTTCTTGAGAAGTACGTCAAAGATTTATTAATAGAAGCAGGAACTTTTGAAACTATTGTTAATACGCAAATTTTACCAGCTGCATTTGAATTTCGCAAATCATTGGCGGAAGCAATTAATATGTTGGATTCAATGTCCGCTCCGGAGTTAAGAACACTTGAAAAAACGACACCAATAGTTGGAAAATTACAGAAATTAATGGATACACTTAAAGAGAATATTGAAAAATTTTTAAAAATCGAAAACTTGACGGAACAAGTGGCTTCTGCACAAATATATTTAACCTCCGTTATTGAAACCGCAAGAATAGAAGTAGATAAATTGGAAGAAATAGTTCCGGATAAACTTTGGCCAATGCCAAAATATTCTGAATTATTATTTACATAGATTTGTTAAATTTAAATTTAAATTTATTTTCTTTTTACCGATTAATGTTCGTATTTAAATATTCAACAAATAGATTTGCTACACTTTCAATATTTAATGTGTGCATCTTATTAATATTTGTAAATTGCTTTCTTAAACGTCTTAATTCTGAAAGCGTTACATTACGTGAAGGAAGATTTATGTACTGAAAAGATATATCCATTATTCATTAAGGATGAATATATTGAAATTCATAAATTTTTTTTTTTTTTAAAAATAAAAAATTTATAAACAAAAAAAGGATATTGGTTGAGATATATTAGGTATAATAACAGTACCTGCCCCAATATTGGTTTTTTGAACATTTATTACTGCATTGATTATTTCCTGAGTAATTTTTTCAAGTTCGTAGAGATAATTTGTTTCGCTTACAGGTTTCTAATAAAATATTTTTTTTTTAATAAAATCTTATAAAAGAATTAAAAACATTTTTTGTTTTCATAATTTCATACCACAGCAGTAGATAAATTTGGAGGTCTTGCTACTTTAACAATTATGGCATTCCATATATTATCTAAAGGTATTGTTTCATCACTATAAAGAACTGTAAAAAGTGGAGAATCCCATCGGTTTCGATCATCTGGTTCTTCGAACCTACTAACGAGTTCATCGAATCTATTATATTTAATGAATAAATATTTTAATCTATTATGTTCCCTTCTTTTTTAAATGTTAAATATTAATTTAATACTAACACATTTGATTCATAACTCTCTTCACCTCGATTAAAATTCCATTCCTTCGCGATTTTTACTGGTGTACCACAGTATATCTAAGAAATTAAAATAGATCAAATGGATCAAATGGATCAAATGATAAACCAAATAAGTGAAAGTTATTATTTACCACACAATGAGGAGTACCAATTGCTCGTGCGATACAATACAATTGATATCGAAATCCTTTGATATAATTCATTCCATCAGCTATTATTACATCATCTTTTGAAATTAATCGTTCTACGGCTGATTTTAATGATGCACGAGTTTTTTTTTCTTCTATACGCGTATCTTTTGAAAAAAATAAGCAATAATTTTAGATCTTGATATTCAAAAAATAAAAATGCTGCTGATTGAACAGAGATTATTACCTTTATAACTGTCTTTAGAAATACCTAAAGATTCGTCATTAATTAAATGTACCGCATTGGTTTTCTGTTGAATTGCAAATCTCTCAATAAAGTATTTTTCAACCTTTTTAGCACAAATAGTTTTCCCACTTGAAGGAAACCCACACATTATTATTAAAGGCATTTATGAAAACTAATAGATGAAATAATTAAAGAACGGAAAAATTGCCAATTGGATGTATAAATATATATTTTTACAATGTGCAACGATACAATTTGATTATTACATTAGTACATTATTTTTATATGGTTTTACAAAATAATATAAAAATGCAGCCGCAACCTGAATCTGAACTTTTAAAATTAAGTTCGGATGAACAGAACAATTTTATAGATTGCGTTTGCACGAACAAGGTTAAAAAGGAAGATTGGCAGGTGAATTTTTTAATATTAATTAGATTACAGTAAAAATTTTTCAAGTTAATGTTCTTTAAAAAAATTATATTGGGACAATTTATAGGACCATCAGATAATATGTGTTAAAAAAAGACTATCGTGTCCGGCGTTTGTATCATTTCTAAGTGAATCTGTTAAGTTTGAACAACCACTTTGGAAAATTTTTGGAGCTCGTTATGCTGATTTATCATTGTCATTGGTTGATTCAAATTGTGCTCCATCTTTAAAAGAAATTGCAAAGGAACAGGTTTTGAGAAGGTAATAATTTATTTATTATATCAATTACATTATAACTGATAAATAATGTCGGAACTAACTATTTTTATAATATTTATTATAATATTAAATTATTAATATTTTATCAGTAAAAAATATAATTTATCTAACATGAAATCAAATAAAATACCATCAGCTATAATTCATACTCTTCGCTGGGAATGTCCAAGTTTTTCTACCAAGAACGAATTAAATAAGCATATGACAGAGTCATGTCCTTATTACAAAGTTCATTGTTCACTTATACCACGACATGTGTGTTATGATATAATTCCTACCAATTGTCATAGTAATTATAAATGTCCCAAACATGGATTATCACGACAAGAATTTCACGAGCATTCAATGAAAGGGGTAAAAATTTATAAAATTCGGTTTTTCAAATATTTGTAAATGTTATTCTTGATTCTTCTTCTTCTTCTTCTTCTTCTTATTCCATATTTATTTTCATATCATTCATCATCATCATCTTCTTCTTCTTCTTCTTCTTCATTCTTATTATTTTTTAGAAATTAGATCCAATTTCACAAAGATTGAAACCCAAGTCAATATTTTTTCCATATCATTGTTTGGCATGTGGTCAACATCTACCAAATTCTAATATTCATATTTGTATTGAATCATTACCTGATTTACCTTCACCTCCACTTCCAGCATCAGAAATTATATGTCATGGATGTAAATCAATACTAACCAAACCAAACAAATCTTTTCTTGAAATTCAAAATGCATGTCAATTTTGTTGTCGTCAAAAAAAAAATCCAATAGTAATTGGTCTAATAGGAATGATTCCCAAAAAACATCAAAATTCCAAAATATTCTGGAATGAAGGTATGTTAAAGTGTAAAGTTCATTGGAAAGATGTTAAAGAAGATTTAATCCACAAGTTTGATGATAAATAATAGAAATAATTTTGTTATAAAATACATTAATTTTAATATTTTATTAGAATTTATTTTATTTAAATTCAATTATTAGAAGAAAAAAAAAAAATAGAATAGTAAAAATAGAATAATGTAATGTAATAATAAATAATAATAAATAATATGATGTAACATTAAATAATAAATTAAATAAAAATAATAATGAAAAATTAGAAATTTTTAACCTCTTCTTATCAACCGTTTGACCTAGCTGAGACAAGAATTATGTAATCGAAATAATCGAAATAGAGTTAAATGAAGGAGAAAAAAAAAAATTAGTATTGTATTATAAAAATAGTAATATAGTATAATGTTATAAATTTAATTATTATACATATATTATATTGTCAATATTGTTAAACATTATTTATTATTTGTTTATTCATTCATTTATTTATTTATTTATTTATTTATTGTTTATCTTGTAATTGTGTCCTAAATATTATTCCTATCCCATCCTTTAACTTTGTTACATTTAATATTTTATAGTGTCACATTAAAAAGAACCAACCAATGTAAATTTAAAAGCAAGAATTTAAAGAATAATTTGGATATAACTATCCTAAAGTATAAATACAAGTTTGAGTTTTCTGAAGTTCTTCAAAAAAAAAATAAATAATAAGGAATAGATCAAATAGTTCTTCTATCTCTTTAAAAAAGTTTGATTCTTTTATAAAACCTTTTGATTTTGTATATTGTAAATTTTATCTTTAACTATTTAGACTATTTAGCACTTAAGTAAGATAAGTATGGTAAATTCCTAGTTTATAATGGATTTGGATCTGTAAACATTATCTTAGTTAATTTTTTTATAACTTTTAATTACAGTATCTTAATTCTTTCCGTCATTAAAAAAAAACTATATTTTACGTTAAGCTAGTAGGTCTTCTATATATTTATTGTTATTTGGATTGGATTACTGACACAGCCTTGTAATTTACAAGTTGTAAATTTGTTACATAAATAATTGATCTATTTTTGGTAATTCTATATTATTTAAAGGTTATTTGTGTATAGAATATTTAAAGATTAAAATTTTTGATAGCTTTCTGTAATGGTATTAGTTGAAATCCTTGTTTTTGAGTTATCCAAAAATTTAACCTCTCCTTCAGATAATGCTATCATTTTATTCTTCAAGACTTATAATTTTTATATAATATGTCACTACTTATAACGAAAGTCATGATATCTTGAAAGAAAGATATAAAAAAAAAAATTATATATAAAGAAAAAATAATTTGCTATGTGAATTATTAAATATTTTAGGTTTTATTTTAATTTAAAGAAAATTAAAGGTCTTTATATAGAATAATTTATGCATTTCGTTAATGTTATTATTTCTTGTTATTACTTTTTAAATTGTTTTAATAACTTAAATTGTATTTCAAGTTATGAAGATCTACCAAAAACACTACTTTATTCGCGTATTCGTGTATTCGTGGTAATCACGAGGAATCTCAAATACATTACAATACCCTTCATCTGAATTACAGTACATTGTGTACCGTGAACGGAAACACACCACTAACACGCTTGAAATTAAACAAAATAAAATTTAAAATTTAATCTTTAAATGGTTATGATTATTATTTACCTTTAATTTGATAGGTTGAAATAATATCTCTTTGCATTTATTTATTTATTTAACGCGTACTAAAAATGACACTAAAAAAATATTAAAAATATGAATTTATCACAACATCATTAATTTTCAATATAACCTCATTTTGTTTAGAGTATGTTCTAAATACTCTCTTCTCTAGACGGGGTTTTTTTTTTTTTAATAAAATTATTACTTTCATTTATTACGTTCCTTCTTTCTCTTTTTTTTTTTTCTTTTTTATCTTTCTATCCGTTATCAAATGTTTAAATTTAATTTTAAATTATTGTCAGACAGAAAGAAGGAGGTATATACATATATATATCTTTTTTTATTTTATTTATATGTTTTATTATATTATATTGTTTTAAAATTTTCTAATTATTTCTAATTAGTTTTACCATTTTTTCCATTACAGAACAAAAATCCATCCCTAGAAGTAAAGCCTGAATTACCAGCTTTTGAATGGCAAGTTACTGGAGATACTGGTTTATCTGACTGTATAACCCAAGCTACTTTAACTCCTCCTAAAGATGCTATATTCGGAAATGTAAATGGACGTCCCAAGTCTTCTCAATTGAGAAGCATTCCAAAAAATAACAATCGAGCATCAGAATCTGGAAGATTGCGCTTAATGCAAATAATAGAGGTTGAAGAAGCAAGAACAAATTTTAGGAATTATCTAGTATCACAATATTGTGAAGAAAATTTGGACTTTTATATGGATGTTGCTCAATATCGCGAATTCTTTTATTCTAATGGAGTTCGTATTAATGAAGATATTAGAGAAATAAGTTCACATGCAAAATATATATGGAATTTTTATTTAGACGCTGATACTTCTTCAAAACCTTTAAATGTTCCTCAAGATCTTGCAAATAGTTGTCGACAAAAAATTGATTCACGACAATATAACATTGATATATTCGATAAACTTCAACAACATTGTTTTGACCTTATGGTTCAAGATTCTTTACCAAAATTTACGCGAAATTCATTAATTTGTCTACCTAATTCCCCTACAACTTATAATTTAAATACATATAATCCAAAAAATTCCAGTTATCTTAGACCTCCTTCCTTTATTGGAAAACCTAATTTAATAAGAAAGTCAAGTTCTTCTGGTTCCCTTAATCTAAAAATGGCTTCAACCTTTACTTCATTAAAAACGTCTATTACTGAACAAAATTTTAATTCTTCAACTACTAATGATACTCCGAATCAATTCACTTTAATTCAAACCATATCTTCATATCAAAGTACACAAAACATACCCTCAAGTCAAACCACATCTTCAAGTCAAACAACATCTTTATATCAATCTTTATGTCAAACCGCATCTTTATATCAAACTTTATGTCAAACCACATCTTCAAGTCAACCAACAACTTCTTTACCTACACCACCTTCCTCACCTAATTCCTCTGTCTCGAATTCATCTCAATTAACGTTAGCACAAGAAAATCATACCGACACCGAAAGTAATAGATCTTCTACAGCATCTACTGGTTCTTTTGGATCAACAGGTTCTAGTTTATCAGCCCCAACCTTTAATTATAATCAAAGATTAACTAGTACAATAACAAATATAACACGTCGTTTGCTCTTGGGTCGTCGTAATTCAACAAGTTCGACTTCAAGTCAAACTTCAACACTTAATTCACCTACTATTGAAACATTAATAGGAATGCCTGGTTCTTATCCATGCATTCCGACGAGTAATATACAAGAGAATTGTAGGAAATACGATGAATATGCAAATTGTTCATCTGAACAAATAACAGCATTAACAGCGTGGCAAAAACTTCGTCGAAACATTTCAACACCCAATTTTCAAGTACGTGTTACTGCAAGATCACGTTCGAGTACTATTATTCATGGAATTTATATTCCAGATAAAAGTCTCCCGCCAATTCCTGCTGCATTTAAAGCTTAAAAAAAATTCTCATAAAAATTAATTTACTAATGATACTTCCCTAAAAATATTTGGAGATGAGTCAAAAAACACTTTCAACCTATAAAAGTTGCATTTCTTGTCTTTTTCAAGGCAGTATCTTTAGTCATAACATTAAAATTTAATGGAAACTATTTTTTTTTTTTAAATTTCACATATAAAATTTTTATAAAATATTATAATTATATATTGTATTTAATCTTTTTTTTTTCATTTTTCTCATTTTGGTTTCAAATCAATTATATATTTCTTTAGGTATAACTTATATTAATATTATGCACTTTTAATTTATTTTCCAAATTCGTTAATAAAAATTTCTTTAATAGAAATTTCGTTAATTAATTAATTTCAGAATATCCTTTTTTTAACTGTACATTTCTCTCCCACACTTCAATTTTTCTTTCGCAATTTTAGGAACTTTTTTTTTTTTTTGACGGGATCATCCATTAGTACTTAAAACGGGAACAGAAAAATTGGTACTATAAAGACTACTGTTTTTGCAAATAAAATTGTGAATTATTTATCAAATAAAAATTTTTCTTTAATGAAAATAAATTTTTGATCAAAAAAATTCATGTTTACAAGAAAATATATTTTTAATTATACAAATAAAGATTTCAATGTTGTATACAATAATGTATTTTTTTTTAAAAAAAAAAAAAAAAAAAAAAAATGGTATTTTAACAGTTATTTTAGAAGAAAAAAAAAATCCTAAATAAATAAGAAAAATTGATAAACACATTTAATTATTATTTGTTATCATTTGCGAAAAATTCAAATAAATTTAATCAATCATTGCGATAAAGAATATCGTAATGTCCAGGTCTATACAACAACACTAATGGTTTTGGTGAATTTACACCTTTTTCTGTTTCTTCTGGGTAAAATTCGTGAAAGTTCACTTGATCCATTGAACTAGAACCACTCATGTAAGCAACTTCAACTGGAACTTTAAGAGCTTTAGTTAAAGCAATTACATGAATATGATCAGCTTCCTGATCCATCACTTCTACAAATTTACTACAAAAGTCATCCATTCCAAAATCAAAATCTAAGAAAGGTTCATATTCGTCACGATATTTTTTTAAGTATGCAGCAGTAATAAATCGAAGATATAAGACAATTTGATTGGAAATTTCGTCTGTTTGAAAAATTGATAATAGAGTATCATCATCATGCCTTCCTTCCCCAATTGATTTTAAATGTCCCTCAAAGACATCATAGAAATCCTCATAAACATACTTTTGATATCCTACCGAATCAAGAAGTGGTTTTGTAGAAGCCAAAGAATTAATTGCAGCTTGATCTTGAACTTTATTTTTGCAAACCATAAGTTGTTCAAACCATGCGAACCCAAATGCTATATACAAGAAATATTATTGTTATTTGATATGAAAAGGATAATAACATTATTATTATTATTATTATTATTATTATTATTATTATTATTATTATTATTATTATTATTATTATTTTTATTATTATTATTATTATTATTTATTTATTTATTTATTTATTTATTTATTTATTTAATTATTATTATTATTATTATTACCTCTGTAAAAACAATTTCCATCCCCACGACAACGTCTTATTCTTCTATGATTTTCAGTTAATTTCTAACATGTGTGTGATTAAAAAAAAAAAACCAAATATGTGTGACCATCATCTAAAGACGGTTTGTTGATGCTTTTAAAAGAATTCAACCAACCATTATCTTTTGACGAAATACTTCGCTACCATTCATGTATTCTTCGTATAACTTATCAATAGGTTCTGGAAGGCATACGAGTGGTGATTTTTCAGCTGCTTCTTTTCTAATAGCCTCGCAATATTCTGCATTTTGTTCAAAAGTAGCTTGATATTCCTTTGGTATGGATGACGTCTCTGAAAAACCACCCTCAGGTGGGTGAGTTCGAGAGTCATTTGAAGAAACAACGGGTTCAGTCTGGGAACTTTCTTCAACTTTAATTGTACTTTCGTTAGACGCGTTCGTATCAATAGGTTCTTGTTTTAAGCCTTCACCTTCACTTGACTCTGATATTACTTCTGGAACATTCTCACCAGTTACTGTAGACGGTGTAGTGGGTTGAAAATTCTCACTAGTTACTGCTGACGGCGATGCCTCAGTTACTGTAGACGGCGAAGTGGGTTGAACATTCTCAGCAACTTCTGTAGACGGTGAAGTGGCTTCAACATTCTCACCAACTACTGTATTGAGTTGAACATTCTCACTAGCTGCTGTACTGAGTTGAACATTCTCATAGGTTGTTGTAGACGGTGAAGTTTCTACAGGAGGGACGCCATCAATATTGTTAGTTTGGTTAGTTTGGTCAATTTGCTGGACAATTTCTCCACCGCCCATATTTTAGATCAAAACTAGAAAATTATAAAATGAGAGAATTTCAAATTTGGGAAGTCAGATAAATTGTTATATTAATAAGTAATAATAGGGAGTAATAAGCAATATCCAATTATCTTTTTTTAATGCAAATCATTCACAAAATTAGAATAATTATAATTAGGAAACTAGAATTAGGGAACTTGGATTAATATCTAATAATTGAATCACGATTTGATAATCTAAAACGAACGCGTTTTCGTTTTTTCCTTTTTTTTTTTTTTTTTTACTTATCTTATATACAATATATTAGGATATCTATGTTTTTCAAAAGATATATCGTCAACGCCACTAATATATGTCGCGTTTTTCTCATAAACCGATCATCAATTGTTATGAATGGACTTATTCATTCTCGACTATTTTTTACCCCTTTTAATAATCTTCTTCCTCTTCCCAGTTCTAACACAAAACCCAAAATTCAACAGAATCAACAAAGAATGTTTGTTTCTAAAAAGAAAAATAAAAAAGTTGGGAAAAAGGCAAAAAATAAGAAAGACGAAGAAGAAGAGGAAGAACAAGAGGTGGAAGAGGACAACGGAGGGTTGGAATGGAATGACATAAATACGGAGAAAGAAGAGGAAGAAAAAGAACGAATCGATTTAGCCAGTATAGAGTCTAAAGCGAATACTATTATTGAAAAGTTGAAAAAGGAATATAGCACTATGAGAATTGGTCGGGCAAACCCAGGTTACAATTAAAATAATTTGTATTATGTTCTTTTTTTCATGTTTAGATTATTTATTAAAACAATCTCCTTTCTTTTAGCTATTCTTGATTCAGTTGTTGTTCCTTATGGAGGTGGAAGTGCACCTTTAAAGGATCTTGCACAAATAGTTGTCAAAGATCCGCAAACGTTATTAGTTCGAGTGCATGAAGAAGAAGTATGGTAAAACGATGCAATTAAATAATAATAAAAAAAAAAAAAAAAAAATTCTAGTAGATTTAAATAATATAATCAGCAAAATCGTATTAATAAGAATATTTTTGATATTTTGGTTGTTCTCCCATTATTATTAAAAAAAAAATTTTTTTAGATACTTCAAGCAGTAGATAAAGCAATAAGAAGTGCAAATCTTAATCTAAATCCTATGATTGATAACAAAGGTCTTAAAGTACCAATTCCAAAGTAAGTAATATTTTGTAATATTTTATAATATTTGATTGCATTAAGTTCAAAATAAATTTATTATCCATTTATTATTAAGAATTACTACTGAATACCGCGAAAATATGGTAAAAACAGCTTCCAAAATGGCAGAAAATGCAAAGATCAAGATACGTTTAGTGAGACAAGATGGATTAAAGGAATTGAAAAAAATCAAAACTGGAATATCAGCGGATGAAATCAAAGGATTAGAAAAGAAGGTATTTATTATTATTATTATTATTATTATTATTATTATTATTATTATTATTATAAATTTATTATAAATTGATTTTTATAATAATAATAAATTTAAAATTTTTATCTTAGTTTCAATTAGTAATAGATAAATCTGTGAAAGATATAGATGAAATTCTAAAAGCCAAATCTAAAGAAATAACAACAAATTAATTAGATTAATTATTTAAGAAATATTAAAAATATTTAAAATATTTAACGAAAGCAAAAGACAAAATAAAATAAAAAAATACTAAATCAAATTATTTTTGTTTAATGTAGTGTTAGGTGTAACTTAAATTATTTGTTGTTCAAAAATTTAAAATTAATTGGTTAATGAATGCATATTGCGAAAATTGGTTCAACGTATTCTCGATTAAAAAAGATAACATTTGTTATACAATCTTTCGCTTTCTTTTAAACCATAAAAAAAAAAATCTATACAATCTATTTATTTTATTTTATTTTTTTTTTGATTTACCCAAACGTCTCTCCTTATTCCATTCAGTTTCAACGTTTATAATGTCTCCAGGTACTACATCCACAAACGGCATTGGAATTGCCAACTTGCCAAATCAGAGACATAAAATTGTTGCTAAGCGTGGAACTAATTTTACTTTAATGGTAGTTGGTAAGTTTCACTACCTTTTTTCTCGAAAACTAAAACATTAAAAAAATTGTCATAAATGTTATAATAGAAGTTTTGATGTACCGTTTATTATATTTGTGTTTAATATGACTCCATCCAAGAGTAGTATATCCATACTGTTTACCATACTTATTAAAAAAAAAATTCATGGATATCTAATTGAATTTTATTGATTTATTAGGTGAATCTGGTCTTGGGAAGACAACTTTTATCAACACTCTTTTTACCACCACCATCAAAGAAAAAAAGAACCAAACTAGGCGACATGCCAAACAAACAGACAAAACTGTTGAAATTGAAATAACCAAGGCTGGTAAATAGAAAATATTCGATACATGGATTATTCATGGATTATTCATAGATTATTCATAGATATTCGTTTTCTTTTTTTTCAAATTATCGAAGAATCATTAATTTAATTGCTTTTGAATCATAATTTTTATTCAATTTACAGAACTCGAAGAAAAAATGTTCAATGTTAAGCTTACAGTTATCGACACACCTGGCTTTGGAGATTATGTAAATAACCGCGATAGTTGGTTGCCTATTGTTGAATTCATCGATGACCAACATGAATCATATATGCGTCAAGAACAACAACCACATCGTAAAGAAAAATTAGATATGCGTGTTCATGCCTGTCTTTATTTCATTCGCCCAACTGGCCACACGTAAATTTAGCACATTTATTATTTATTCTTTTTTCATATATAAAGTAACTTTAATAATTTTAATAATTTTTATCATAATTGTTTAAATAGGTTGAAACCTTTGGATATTGAAATTATGAAACGCTTGGGTTCGCGTGTCAATTTAATTCCAGTCATTGCCAAAGCTGATACATTGACACCTAAAGATTTAGAAACATTTAAGAGAAGAGTAAGTAATGATATTTTTTGAATGAGTTAAATTTTCGAGACACGTCTCTTGTTAATCAAGATAAAATCGAATTCTTCTTTGAATTTTAATTTGATCAATAGGTAAGGGAAGTAATCGCCGCTCAAAACATTCAAGTTTATCAATGTCCAATTGAGAGTGACGATGAGACCAGCACCAAACGTAATATGAACATTATGGTAAGTTTAATATTCTTTATAGAAAGTATAATTTTGAGAATCTATTAAAAATGATTTACACTATTTTATGTATTATTTTATGCATTATTAAGGCAGCTATGCCATTCGCAATTATTGGGAGTGACGAAGATGTAATTACTTCTAACGGCAATAAAGTAAAAGGAAGGCAATACAGTTGGGGTATTGCCGAAGTAGAAAATGAAGATCATTGTGATTTCAAAAAACTTCGATCTTTGATTGTTAGGTAATTATTTTATAATATTTATTAATTTATTTTTAATTAAATAATTTATTTATTAAATAATTTAATTAAATAATTAATTTATTAAAAATTTTTATTAAATTTTATTTTAGGACACATATGTTAGATTTGGTGTCTACTACTGAAGAAAAACATTATGAAAATTATCGTCAAGCACAAATGGAAACTAGGAAATTTGGAGAACCAAAGTAAGCATCAAATTCATATAATATTTTTGATAAATACATATTTTGATAAATATAAAATATTTTTTTTTTTTATTAGACAGAAAAAACTTGATAATCCAAAATTCAAAGAAGAAGAAGAAACTCTTCGTAAAAGATTTACTGAACAAGTTAAACAGGAAGAAAATCGATTCCGACAATGGGAGCAACATGTAAGTATGAAAACAATAATAGTTCTTAATTAGTCACAAGAAAATTGATATTTACTAACGTACAATACATATAATGATTTTTATATGTAGCTCATTGCTGAACGTGATCGTCTTAATAAGGATTTAGAAGCCGAACATTCTCATATCAAAAATTTGGAATCTGAATTAGAACAAATTCAAGCTGCAATGTCAAGTAAAGGTGGCCGAAAATAAATAAAGATGATAAATATTATAATTTATGATCTTATAATTTCATTATATATTTGATTTAATTTTTATCTATCTAGCTTATATAATCACGTAGAGAATTAGAGTTAATTAATTAAAGTTTTATTATTATTATATTATTATTATTCATTTTATTATTTATATTATTAGTCATATTAGATGTAATGTATATTATTATATTATAGTATAATTATAATGGGAGAGTATTTTAATAAAAATTTTAGGATTCATCTATAATTTTATCGCGAATGCGATTTTTGTAAGGCGCAGCTTATTTTTTCATTAAGTTATACTGATCGACTAAAATTTATAAAGTGTATATATTTATATTAAATCCATAAATTTTAAATGTGTATTTTTTATTACTATTTTTTTGATTTCTAAATTACTTACTTTGTAGTTTATATAAACTAAAATCGACTTAGATTAGACTATAGTAGTCTCAGGGTGGCAGCTTGACAACAAAAGTTGGCCACTGTCGTCATGTTATCAAGTATATCGCGAAAATGCTATCGGGTCATGCTATCTTAGTATATCGCATAAATTCTATCGAATATGTATGCAACCTATGCCATGTAATTGCTATTGAGTATGTTGCCAAATTGCATCCTAGTTACATCTTAGTTGCATTTTTATTGATATATACCCCATAAATGTTATTGGGTTTGCTATCAAATTGATTTCGCTCATGTTTAATGTCATAAAAAAGTGAAGTATTCTGCCATATTACCGAAGTTAGCTATCCAAATATATACTCGAAAACATATCACAGGAATGGGTAGCCTTCTCCCAGTTTTTCTTATATACAGTAGTGGCCATAAGTATCTGACCTCCCCTAATTTCCCTCATGGATAAGTATATTTAATAAAATTTTTTTATTAAAAAGTATATGACTAACAATGATAATAATACATTGTATAGTCTCCATTCAAATCTATAAGTGCTAATACATGATGTCTCATACTATTTACCAATTTTTCAGCAAGATCGGATGAGAGATGGTACCATTCCTTTACTAATTCTCCCTTTAAACTTTTAACTGTTCAAATTTTTTTTTTTTGCTATATTTATCTTCATTAATCTCCAAATATTCTCTATAGGATTTTGATCTGGTGACATTAATGGCCAGGGAAGTACCTTAATTTTCTTTTCCACCTTTCATTTTGCACAAATTTTTGACCAGTGCTTGGGATTATTGTCTTCTTGAAAAAACCAGTCTAAGTTATTTACACCAAAAAACTCAGAGGCAGAAGGTAGAAGTCTCTTCTCATATACTTTGCACATAAAATCAGCATTAAGGTTTCTTTGAAAATATACTAATTTACCAAATCCCAAAATTGAAAAACACTTCTATACATGGACCTTTTGTGGATGCTTGATGGTACGAAATATTTTTTTCCTTCCAACAAACTACCAAACCTTTTTTTTTTTGTGAAAATAGTTGAAAAGTACTTTTGTCTGTAAAAATAACTTGATTCCAGTTAAAGTCTTGATGTTCCCTCACCCACTGTAATTATTTATTCCAGTAGTTCTTCATATTTGTCTCTAGCTTCATGAAGGTATTACCTTACAGTTCTTACACTAATCTCAGTACCATGTTTATTCATTTTTTCTTTTATTTGATTGTTTATTATATTGTGTTTTGCTTTTGCTATCTTCATCATTTGTTTATCTTTCTTCTCAGTTATATATCGTGAATAACCTGACTATACATGTTTCCAAAATTGATTTTGGATTTTTAAGATATTTTGACTTTTTGAGATTTATGCAGAATTTATTCTATATATGAAAGTAAAAAAAGCTTTCACATCAGGAAATTTTTTTTGGTGAAAACCTTCAAAAGTTAACATTAACATAAGTATTTTGCTGTTTTTCGATATATTATCCTTCAAAAATCTTCGCTAACCTTTGAAGGTTATTGATTATGATATTTTCATGTAACAAAATTTTGCAAATATTATTGTTTTCATAGTAAATTCATATTAATAACTTTTGAAAATTATCGATTTGATATTTCATATGTGAAATTTTACAAATATTATTGTTTTCATAGTAAATTTATATTGATAACTTTCAAAGGTTATCAATTTTAATATCTTCATGTGTAAATTTTGCAAATATTATCATTTTCGTAATAATTTTATATCAATAACTTTCATTTATATTAGATATTCATAATATATCATTTCGATGGTTATCACTTGTATTTATATTGCTACAATTTTAATTGACATTACACTGTTAACGATATCTTTCAAAGTTTATCACAGCAATTTTAATTGACATTGTATTGTTAACAATGTCTTTCGAAGTTTATCACAACAATTTTAATCGACATTGCACTGTTAACAATATCCTTCGAAGTTTATCACAACAATTTTAATTGACATTGCATTGTCAATGATATCTTTTAAAGTTTATCACAGTAATTTTAATTGACATTGTATTGTCAATGATATCCTTCAGAAATTTATTGCAGCAATTTTAATTGACATTATACTGTTAACATTATCTTTCGAAGTTTATCGCAACAATTTTAATTGACATTGCACTATCAATGATATCCTTCAAAGTTTATTGTAGCAATTTTAATTGACATTGTATTGTCAATGATATCCTTCAGAAATTTATTACAGCAATTTTAATTGACATTACACTGTCAACGATATCCTTCAAAGTTTATTGCAACAATTTTAATTGACATTGTATTGTCAACAATATCTTTCAAAAGTTTATCGCAACAATTTTAATTGATATTGCACTGTTAACAATATCCTTTGAAGTTTATTGTAACGAAATTACATTGTTAACAATATCTTTCGAAATTTATCACAACAATTAAGATTAGTATTTATATTCATTGAACATAATTATATTATTGTTATAATTTTATTAGATATCATATTGATTCAAAATTTATTAGTATTAATATGTTCACAAAACCTTTGATGATTTAATATATTATAGTTAAAGATTTTCAAAATAACTAAACAATTAACAAATATTTTTCAAAGTTTATATCACTGTATTTTGACCGACATCAATATCCTTTGAAGTTTATCATATTGTTGATTATTTTTTCAAATTTTCTTCAAAGGTTAGTATTTTTTTTGTTTGTGCAACAAGATCAATTATCCTATATGACTTATTATTTAACTATATATTTTTTGTTTATTTTCAGAATAACTACTTTTACTCTTTCTAAATAATCTATACAAAATTCTTCAAAAAGAAATAAATTTATATCTTCATATTTTGTTATTGTTATATTAAAATACACCAAATAAAAGACAATAATTTAAAATATATTTAATAATATTTATTGGCTTGCATTGATTTTATTTTATAACTTAACAAGTAAATAAATATATTTTATATTTTGTTTACTTTTAGGAATACCTCATTAACTTTAACATATACTTATAAAACATTTCAAAATGATATATTTATATCTTTCTATTATTTATTCTGTCAATAGAATATCTTTGAAGAGATAAAAATTAATAAGTTATTTTTGTAAATTTATAAAATAAAAAAATTTAAAATTTTTCTATATAATTTAAAGATCTTTTTTAAAGAATTTATTTTATTAAATAATTACATTAAGGTTTTATGTAATAGTATTTAGAATTATAACAGGTTCTCCTTTTTTTAACATATTCATGACAATAATATAAGTATTCAAATTATTTATTTAAAAAAATTAATTTATTTTGAATCGTAAAACATTACAATATTTAAATATATATAAGTATTTTGAAGATATACAATGTAATATATATAATATTAATTTTAATTATTATAATAGAAAATTTATAAAAAATTTAAAAGAAATTTGAAAAAATCTTAAAAAGGTAAATAAACATTTTTTAAACTTTTATAAAATTACAAAAAAAAAAAACAAAAGTTAAAATTTTTTTATCTTTAAAAAAGAATAAAAACGAAAAAAAATATCATGTAATATAATATTACAGAAAATAGAAACCTGCATTATATTTAAGAATTATATAAAAAATAGTTACCTTATATTATTATGTCATTATATGAAAATGTATAGAAAAATAAAAAAAAAATATTATAAAATATTTATTATTATCTTTTAATAATAAAATTAATGATAAATTATATAAAAATTCAGAAAGTAATAAAATATTACGAAATAAAATTTTTCACAATATATTGAATTACAATGAAAATAATTAAATTCGAAGTAATCTGAAAATGATAAACCTGAAACAAAATATGTTAAAATACTAAATGTTAAATTTCAAAAGTTTACGTTATCATTAAAAAATTTAGTATTGAATTTCAAAGGTTTTTAATAATGAAATAATACGTATCAAAATTTAACTGTTAAATTTTAATTTCAAAGGGTTATGGCACAATCGATAACCTTCGAAATCTAATGTTGCAATATAATTTTGAAGGTTTTCAAATTAATATAATTACTAATACTTAGTAATATAATATTATTAGTATTATATCATTTATAGTTATTAGCAAATAGTATTTTGTGGTACAGTAGTTAAAATAGTATAAATATACCTCTTATTTCAAATAGTTTCAACAGTTTTACATTATTTAATTTTATATTTTAATAACTTTAATTAATTGTAATTCTCCAAGGATGAAATGTAATTATTTACATAAGTGTATGTATATAAATTTCCATTAAATTTACATAGTGAAAGTGAAATAATAAATATTATTATTCAAATTGATAAATGATAATCTATTGAATATAATAAAGTAGAAGTGGGAATATTAAATGGAAGTTATATAATTAATTAAATAATTAATAATATTTGTTCTGTCCTAATAATTATTGAGGAAGTTTTATGATAAAGTATTTATTCAATACTAAAGATGATAAATGAAATTATGAAGATAAATTAATAAGGATGATATTATGAAATTATGAAGATAAATTAATAAGGATGTTATGATGAAATTGTAAGTAGATAATATTAAGGAAGTTTGAAAGTTGAGAGATATAATATTAAAATAGATGTATTATAATAAAAGTAGATGAATATTAGTTTGTTAGTTCTATCTAAAAACTAACTGGTGTCTTCTAAAATTCAAGAGATAACCAAACTAGAAGTCTTGTACTTATAGGAAGGACTATAAACTTCTTAAAAGAACCATTGAGTGAATGTTAATAATAACATCCATGACATTAGTTGTCTGATATATACTTTAAAAATATTGGGTTCATGATATTACTATAAATATTGAATACTCAAATGAATCTAAAAAAAAATATCATATTTCCAATATTACTATTTATTATCATGTATCTGATATTAATAAAATATTGGATACCTGAGATTAAAATAAAATTTATCATAGTTATTAAGCACATTATAAAATTTACAAAAGTACTATCAGGCCCTTAAAAAAAAATGCAGATATCAGGTTTCCGATATATATAAAAATATTTTATGCATCCAATAATTTCCTGATAATTACCTAATATTTAAAAATATCAGAAAGCCAATAGGTACCTGATAGATATCTGATATTCAAATTTTGACCTGTATATAAAACAAGAATCAATAATTCAAAAACTTGAAATGTTAAATATTCAAAATTAATATTACTTTGTATTAAAAAGTATCTATATATGATCCTTGTTTCTAAAGAAATTCATTCACCCTTCACCTTCACCTAATTGAATTTCAATTCATCAATACTGGAAATTTTATTTCAACTTATATTATATCAGGTATTTTTAAAAAATTATTTAAATAATTAAATAGTCAAAAATAAATTCTATTTTGTTTAAAAAATATTTTTAAAAAAAATACTAATAATTAATAATTTATTATTATATTTATATTAGGAAATTTAATTAAAACTTATTTTGGAATTAAATATCTTGCTAAAGTTCATGATTTATTAAATAATGCAGACTGCTTAAGATATCATGTAGATAAAATACAAAAAGAAATTAATTCACAAGGAACTGATCTTTTTGGAGTTGTCTATAATTATTCTAAAAATATTAATAATTTTTGTGATTATGTAAAATATTAGGTAAATATTTATTTAATTTATAATTTATATTTAAATATTATTAAAATTTATTTTACTTTATATAGAATTTTTCAAAAATAATAATGTAATAATTACTTGTACCACTTCAGAACAATTAAATGAATGAGTAAAATGTCAATATTTTGAAATTGACTTGTAATTTAAATGAGTTGCAGAAGAAATTAATGAATTTGAAGTTAATTATTATAATTTGGATCACAACTTAAGTAATGTCAGGAGATCACGCGAGAGCTTTCTAATGAAATAAGTGGGATCAAAGAGGTAACCTCCAAAAGGTTGGCAAAGTGGTAAAATAAAAAATGATAGACAATATAATTGTAAAATTAATTATTTAAAGAATCAATTAACAGAACACAATAATGAAATTAAAACTATATGTCTTCAAACAGAATTTTATATATGAAATAAAATTTAATATATTTTTAATTAACAAATATAATTTTTTCTTTTCAAAATTATTTTGACTTTATAAGATAGACAATTTTGAAAGTAAACTTTATAAAAAGAATTAGAGTATTGATTAAATTGAACAAAGGTTGGAAATAAACATTGTTAATATTTTTTTTCTAATACATATTACAGTATATATAAGATAAAAAGGCTCAATACAAGCAAAACTTTATTACATAAGATTAAAATCATATATTATCGTTCACCAAGTTCACCTTCACCTTCCATTTCTTGTGGAGCTGGTTGTACACCACCGCCACCATCAGATTTCTTCTTTGAAACACCAGATACAATATCATCAACACGAAGAAGCAAGCATGCAGCCTTTTTGGGGAAATTAAAAATTAGTTAACAATTTACATTTTTTATATATTTAACAAAAAAAAAAGTGAATTCTCTAATTACCTCAATAGCTGTCTTAAGTGTTTGAACTTTCACAGCATGTGGTTCCCAAACACCATATTCATTCATATCAACAATATTACCAGTCAAACCATCAATTCCCCATGAATGATTTCCAGTAGCATGTTTGGCCTATGTATAAATGTTTTAGTTAAATAAAATTTTAATTTTAAAAACGAATAATAGAAATGAATAATTGAATTTTGATATATACCCTTAATTGCGTTAATACTTTAATAGAATTACCACCACAATTCTGAATTAAAGTTCTAGGAATAACTTCTAATGATTCTGCGATAGATTTATAAGGCCATTGTTCTATACCTTCCAATGTTTTTGAATTTTCGGATAATTTAACACTTATAGCCATCTCAGTCGCTCCACCACCAGGAGCTAATAAAGAATTAAAGAAAACATTCCTTGCTACACACATCGCATCTTGAAGATTGCGTTCTATCTCATTTAAGATATCTTTTGATGGACCTCTTAGCAAAATTGTACATGCTTTAGGGTTTTCACATTTAGTGATGAAAGTAAAATACCTTTCATTAAAAAAATTAAAGAAATAAAGTGAATATATATAAAAATAATTATTATAATAAATTGAAATTGTTAACTAATATCATTACTCACTCATCACCAATTTTTTCAATAGAAAATAAACCACATTTGGTACCGACATCCTCTTCTTTTAAATCTTCAAGTCGGTTTACAATACTTGCTCCAACTGCACGAGAAATACGATTATTGTCAGTCTTACGTACACGTCGAATAGCAGTGATATTGGCTTTCAATAAATAATGCTGCGCGAGATCTTTAATTTTAAAGGAAATCAAAATTAAATATTAAATAAATATCATTCTATTGGATATTAGGTTTCAATATTGCTTACCAGAAACGCCCTTCTCCGTAAATACGAGATCTGGTTTAACAGATATGATCCTATCGCACATTTCTTTAATTTGTTCTTCTTCAATCTGCAAAAGCCTATTCCAATGATTTTCATCCATAATTTCTGCCGCCGTTTGAGATTCTCCCTTTTTATATTCAAGCGGACAATCTAATAAAACAATTCGAGGCTTTTCGATTTTACGACGCATACTAGAATGAGTGACATCTTTATTTAGCATAACACCGTCTAAAACTCTAGAATCTTCAATTTCACCGCCAGGAACCTAAAATAATAATAATAATATGAAAATTAGATATGAATAATTTAGCAAAGCCAAAGGCAAACTAGTTTCTTCTGAAACTAAACAGGAAGATAGCGACCAAGAAACTATTTCCACTTTCGAAGAAGAAAGCAAAATTATTCATCCTGCGAAATAAACTAAACTAAAATCTGTTTGGAAAAAAATCGGTGCTTTGACTATTATTTGTTTTTATAGATAAAAAATTAAAATAAAATTAGATAAGAACCTTTTCTACGCGAGCATATCTTTTAATATCAACTTCCCGTTTTCCATCCTCCTCTTTGACAACAGTTTTCACAGCAGTTAATGCTAATTTACACATCAAATCACTCCATCGATTCATGAATTTTGTACCAATCGAACTTTTTACTAAATTTAACATTTCCGCTTCATCCTCCACATTGATTGGTTTAGAAATATCATCAATAACCTTTATCGCGTCCTCTAGAGCTTTTTTGAATGCGGATATAATTACAATTGGATGTACATTTCTTTCCAAATAAGGTAATGCTTGTGCCACAAATTCTCCAGCTTTGATCGAATTTCAGTTATATGAATTATTTGGTATATAGAATTAAAAAAAAATAATAATAAACTTATATATATATATATTTTATTTAAACGTACCCAATATAATAACGCTAGTGGTACCATCACCAACTTCTTCGTCCTGAGTTCTACTCAACTCGATCATGCTCTTAGCTGCAGGATGTACTACTTCAACTTCACGAAGGATAGCATTTCCATCATTGGTCAAGACAACCCCACCCATCGGATCGAGAAGCATCTTAAGCATTGAACGAGGTCCAAGACAAGTGCGAATGATATCAGCCACAGTCTAAACATTGAGTATGGATCAACCGTTGTAGAAAATATATTAGAAATGATGAATAAACGCGCTTAAACATATATTATTGTAAATTTTTTTTGTTACAAATTATTTAGATTTAATAAATAGACAAGACCTCTACATTACTCATTTGAATAATTAATTAATATGAAGGAGTTAATCTCTTGATTTATTTCTATTGATCACCATACCTTAGCGGCTGTAACGTTTGAGACTTGAGCTTTCCGACCAGTCTCCCTATCTATATTAGTGTCTAATGAGACAAGTTTTCATCGTTATCAACTCTGCAAAACTAAAACTATGAAATACTTTATTGATCATAGTAAAAAACGAGATTCATACTCATAACAATCACCGGAGCCTGCATTTTTTTAAAATTTTATTTGGATTTGGTAGATCACAAATTCCCAATTCTTTTTAAATTTTATATAAACTCTATTATCACGCTGATGACGAATGTCGTACAATCTTCTGTTGCCATAAATTTAAATTCATTTTTTTATAACGCGTTATTTCTAAATAAACTCGATCAACCCTCTCTAAATTTTATAAATAAATTACGTCTAAAGGATTAAAAAAAAAAAAATGTCATCTCACGTTTCTGCTACAACATCACCATTATTGTCACCTCAAGATTCACCCAAAGAAATTATTGTATCGACTCAACCCGAAAGTTTCGAAAGTTCCACTTTCCAACAATCATCACAATCACTACAATCATTACAATCTGTACCATCATTACCTATAGAACAATATCTTCGTTGTCCAATATGCAAAGATTATTATGATCTACCAATATCAACAAAATGTCAACATACTTTTTGTGCTGGATGCATGAAGTGTAATTATGAAAATAAAGATACTGCAATGGAATGCCCCGTTTGCGGGTATTGGTTTAAAACTTTCACTCAGATGTGTAAAAATACTGTTATCGAAGATTTTTTGAGAGAATATAAAAATTTGAGGTAAAAATATGATTTATAATTATATTAATAATTATATTTAATAAATTAATTTATATATTTAACGAAAAGTCGCGTAATCAAGTTATTTCTAATAAATTTTTAAATATTATACTTTTAATTAGTTCAACAACGATTCGATTATATAAATTGGGACTTCAAATGGATAATGAAAAATGTAATGAAGATAATCAAGAAATCGATATATCAAAGACTAAAATTAGTTCACAAACAAGTAAAATTTTTCAACAATCTATTTTAAAGAATTCAATGAATTTATCAAATTCAATTATGTTTTCATTAGATTCTGGTTCACAAGAATTAAAAAGAAGTGTTGAAAATTATGATGATGATATTCCTACAAAACGATTAAAAAGTGAAAGCAGTGATTCATTTTTTTTTAATAAGAAGGGTAATTTGTAAGTTAATATTTAAAGATGTAGAAAAGAAAATAGAAATTTCATAAATTAAAACGAAATCTGTAATTTTCATTAATAATAATAATAATAATAATAATAATAATGATAATAATAATTTATTATAATAATGATAATAATAATTTATTATTATAATAATAATAATAATAATAATAATAATTTATAATATGAATAATTGTATAGTAATAATAAAACCGCGAACAAAAAACCGAAGCTTGTATATTGTTTGATCAAAGATAAGTCATTAAAAAATATGATGAAGGTATAAAAGTAATTATCGTAATTATCGTGTATAAGGATTGTCTTGATTTTTGTAAATAATTTTTGAATGTAAATTCAAACATATTAATAATAATAGGAAGAAGGATTGTCTTTAAATGGAAACCGAATCGAATTGATTAAACGACATTCATATTTTACTTATCTCTGGAATTCAAATGTTGATGCTACTAATCCAAAAACTAAAGAATCTTTAATTAAAGAAGTTCAAAAATGGGAAAGGACACAACAAAATCAAAAAAGAATTATTGAGAATAATGATAGTTTTAAAAGGTTTTTAAATACAGAAGAAGAAATTAAATCATATGATATCCTTTTAATGTCCGATAACAATAACAGTTAATTTTATTTATATATTCTTTTCACTTCACTTACCCATTCACTCACTCACTCACTCATTCTCCTTAACCAATTTTGAATGTTTACAAATGAGACATCATGATCAATTTGTAGATTTAATTGCAGAAGTTAAAGAAAAAAGAAGAAAACTTAATTCATAACATTTATAACATTCATAATAATGATATTGTCAACTTTCAATTATTAAGAATAAATAACTGTTAATCTATAAATAAAGATTAAAATTTTTTCAACCCAACATTTTGCCTCCCGATAATTTAATTTGTAAATTTGGAGATTTTTTATTTATCTTTATTTTTTCGGCTTTACATGTATACTTATGTTGTATATACATGTGTTATATAAATTTTTAAATTGTCAATTTCGTAGAATCCTCATCATTTTGGTGTATCATACCTATAAGTTTGGAGCAACATCTTAAATTTAGCTTCATTTGTAGAAAATTGACAAAAGCACGAGGATTTTAGATGAAATTAAATATTTTTATGTAAACACGTGAAAAATCATCAGAAATTCATGTATTCGAATAATGCATGGGTTAGAGTTAGGGGTTTGTTGGGGCACACACGTCGAATGATCAAAAATCGGCAAAATTTTGGCTTAGCCTATTTGTGTATTACCCATCATCTACAAATCGGCTTGCCTATTTGCGTATCATCCAAAAATCGGGCCTGCCTATTTCATTCGACCTGTGATAGTATATTTATCCCCATGTGTCACGCCGTTTAAATATTAAATATCCTAGCATGCGGAAACCTTATTTGTCACCGATATTTGTCATCATATATTTGTCACATGAAATTAAATATTTCTGATCCTTCTAAATTTTGGACCAATAAAATTCTAGAATTCACGTGTTTAGGTAAAAATCTAATGAAATTCTTCATAAATAAAAATATTGTAATATATAAAATAATGTAAATCCAACTAAATTAAACTAAAATAGAAATAAATAACAATTGTTATATTGATATATTGATTGATAAGTAATAAATGATTTTCTTCATTCATCCCGTGTAACGTTAAAATTTTTGAATTTAGGTTGCGCAAATATTAGTATATATATATATGTACAAGGTAGATTTTTAGAGGGTTGTGATTTTTATGGGGGGTGATTGTCTGACTGAACTAATTATACTCTTACCTACATGAACTTTTTTGAATATGACTACAAATCCTGGTCTTCAATCAATATCGGATCTGACTGCTTCTACTCGTTTAACAACGGGTGATACACCACCGCCTCTTGTAGGTTCCTCAACAACTGTAATTGGGACTCATCTCTATTTATTCGCTGGTCGTCTTGTATCTTCGCGACGTATGACCAATGAATTATATGTATTGGATTTGAATACTTTTGTATGGACTAAAATTCAGGATAATGACCAACGAACTCCTAAAGCAAGATACTTTCATTCAGCAAATCAATATAAAAATTCTATTCTCGTTTTTGGTGGGATGGGTTATTCAAGAACTTCAAATGATGGTTTATGCGTTTTAGACGATGTTTCCATTTTTGATCTAGAAACTTATACTTGGAAACATCCTGAAATTATATCATCTAATTTTTCCCCTCGACCTCGATATGCTCATTTGGCATCTGTGACTGCAAATAAATTGGTAGTGGTGGGTGGTCAAGACATGTCCAACTTTTATATTGAAGAAATAAATGTGTTGGATTTGGAAGAAATGACTTGGACTTCATCACGACCATTTGAGAAACATTGTGGTGCATATCGATCGGTCGCTGTTAGTAGTTTTAATCATACAAGTTTACCTCTTATTGGTATTAACAATAATGATACCGTTCCACTTTCATCCTCTGATGATTCTTCATCTCAAATATCTCAAGAAACAAATTTATCATCTTCATCATCAACACTTCGAAAATCAAATTCTACACAAAATCTATCTATAGATCCTAATTCTCCAACTCCTAATAATTCAAATTCTATACGAAAACTTCCTTCAGTTGGTGCTTTCGGTCGTCAAGGTTCTCTAAAAAAATCCCCTTCTGGACAAAATTTTCATACGCATTCAATAAAACGATTGCAATCTTCTGGAGATATAGTTAATCGTCTTCTTTATACGACTAAGGTTACTGAAGAAAATCCAAATCCAATATATTTATATTCCAATTATAATTTTACTGATGTTAAGCGTGAACTTCAAGTAATAGCACCTCCGACATCAACAAATTATCAAATTATGGATCATTCAGGAAACATGACAGGTGCTACCTTACCTCCCGGTCTTCGATTTCCAACTGGTGCAATCCTTGGTCATTATCTTATTATTTCTGGAACTTTCCTCACAAACACTAATCAAACATTTAGTATATGGGCGTTAAACCTTGCAAATTTAGTTTGGCTTCGTATTGATACAGGATCATGTTTTCAGCAAGGTTCTTGGAATCGTGGGGTTCTTTGCGAAGTACTTAACAAATATTTTGTATTAGGTCATCGTGATAGATCGCTTGTAGAAGATTATAATCATCGACAAACCAATTTTGATCATGTAACTGTAGTTGATTTGGAAGCGTTTGGAATTTATCAACCACCCTCTGCCACAATGTCACCAATAGCTCAGGAATTAGGGTTATCGATGATGAAGGATTTAAATATTACAGATTTTGAAATTGTAACATCAGATAAGGAGCGAATACCTGTTAATTCGCAACTGTTATCACATAGGTGGCCACATTTTAAAGCATTAGTTGATCAACAAGCAGAAAGAGCTCCTAGATTAAAGTACGACGGAGAAACACAACATGATCCCGAAGATGATGAACCAATATTAATGTATCATCATCGTGCACTTGAATTCCCTGAACCTTATCCTGTTACAATAGCATTTTTACAGTATTTATATACAGATCATCTTCTTACACCTCAACAATATCAACCACAAGTTTTGGCACAATTATTACTTCTTGCTGATATGTATGATCTCAGTCGTTTACGACAATTAGCATCTCACGCACTTCATCAATCTCTCAATATGACGACTGCTGCCTTGATATATGAAACAGCTGCTTTATCACGACAAACAGGTTTACAAATTCGTGCACTTAAAGTTATGATTGCAGCAAAGAAAATGTTACAACAAAATAAGGAACAATTATCATCTCGAGGTGTTTCATCCATTAATGGGGCAATAAAGGCACATCGAGAGTCTATATTAGAACAAGAGATGTCCTCACCTTCAAATTGGGCGCCAACGTCTAGTAATCCAGCAAGTCCACCAAATTTATCGATGCATTCAGATTCGAGAACTTCTTATTTTGATCCATTTCCACCGACAGTAAATTCTTCATCTCAATCAGGGCCCGTTCATACTACACGATCACGTTCATCATCATCTGTATCAGCGTATACAATATCGAATCGTGGACATTTACCTACCATACAAGATAATGCAACATCAGTTAATAATTTACCATATCAACAACGCTTACGATCCTCACAATCAAGTAGTTCATTAAATTTAAGACCCAGGAATTTCATGGGAAATAATAATAATGTACAAGTTCACCAACAATCAATTACAGCAGACAATCGTTCATATCAACCGGGTGCTGGATTTGGATATGTGAACTAAGTGTTGACATTTAAAAGATTTAATCCTTCTAATTCCATAAATTGCATTGTGTAAATTCAAACAAATTGAAAAATTTTGATAAAAATTTAGATGTGAATTTTATTATTATTATTATTATTATTATTATTTTTTATTTTTGCAGTTATTTAAGTTATTTAGTTCAATATTTTTAAATATTCATGTTATATATATTGCATACTAGTAAATTATATTGTTATTATTATTATTATTATTATTATTTTTATTATTATTATTTTATTATTTACATAATTCTTTTAAAAAAGTAAAATGTTTACCATATAAATTTTGATAAATATAATTTATTTCGCAAAATTTTTTAATACTTTAAATAAATAAACAAAAATACAATATATTATTTATTAAAAATTCGGCATACAATTCTATTGGTTTATTTCGTGTGTTACACCACGCAAAGATTTTTCCGATATACAAATGCTACTTCTAAACGTAATGCAATATGAAATATATAGCAACACGTTCCCGCTTCTAAAGAAATTTAAGCAAATGCATCTTTTTTGAGCATCTTTTTTTTTTGATTATCTTTTTTGGTGTTGTTTCATATTCTTATATATAATAGACTTATTTACTGACTTGACTTTTACTCGTAACTAGTTCATTACGCAACTAGTGTAGGTATCTAGATAGTCAAATATGTATATTTTAATGCTTTGGCAACGATTTACTAATAAAGCATCTTTATAGCATGCCCCAATGATTAAAAAAAAGATTCATTGATTTGACAGTTGTTAAAAACATTTCTCTGTGACGAAGTCTCAATAAATAATCATCAATTTGTTACCATCGGGTTCTCACCCAATTTATCCCACCAGATCGATTTATAGTCTCAAACAAAAGAAATTAATAAACCCTATAGGTTCTTCTGTTCCAGTGAGGTCAGTTCCAAGGTGATAAGACATAATCTTAGCCTCAAACCAACTTTGTAGTTTGAAGACTTGAATAAATAAACCCTCACCACGCCACTATATTTTAAACAGATAGATAAAAATTAACTTTCTTGTTTGTATCTATTAAGCAAATTCATGCTCATTCGCTCCTTTCTCCTTTATTAAGACTGGAGATTAACTAAAGAGGCTTAAGGTAAGCTCCTAACTTTTGACTAAAAGGTAGAACATTAAAGTTTAGGAAGCCTATAATGTCCCAGTCAGAGGATGTTCGAGTGAAATACTCATGATCTATATTTTATATGAACTTGAGTGAAAGGAGAGAGAATTTCAGTGTTCGACCAAAAGTAAATTGATAATAATATTTAACTACTGTTATCGTTATAAAAACGCATTTATTTTAACTTTGTGAAATACGCATCCTGTCTTCTAATTGGACGATTATTAAGGAGGATGAAACGTCATGCTTATTTAAGCGATAATTTTCCGCCATGCCTATTTAAGCAATAATTTTCCGGGTTACACAAAATTTACTATTTAATACCATAAAAAACCCATGGTGAACAAATATGGATGATGAATTTAGGGGTGATTCATTTTTTGAAAGTTTTGAAAGCGATGAATCTAATTGTTCTGATGACTCCAGATTAGAAATGGATTCTACTGATTCCGATGATCATTCTTCATCTGTGACTGAAGAAGAGGAAATAGAAATAGAAGAGGAAATGGAAGAAAAGGAAAGAGAAGAAGAGAAAGAACAAGTTTATTTAAGTGATAAAGATGAATCAAATATTTATAATAATAATAATTGTCCTATTTGCTTACAAAGCTTTCAAGATCAAAGTTACTTGAGTCCTTGTTTTCATTCCTTTTGTATCTCGTGCATTCGACAATGGTTAATTGTGACTTCCAACTGTCCATTATGTAAGAGTCATGTAGAATCTGTTGCTTATAATGTAAATGAAGATAAAGGAACATTTCTCAAATTTCAAGTAACTGATATCATTAAAAAAGATGAAAAACAAATAGAAAGATTAAAACATAAAAAGTGGATTTCGGAGATTATTTCTAATACTGAGTCTTCACCATCATCATCTTTATCTTCACCTTTTTCTTCATCTTCATCTTCGTTATCAACAAAGAAAATAAAAGAAAGATCCAAGATATATGATAAAAATCTTTCGGCCAAGAATATAAATAACATAAATAAAATAAAAAGTATAAATAATACAAATAATATAACAGATTTTTTCTCTAACAGAGATCGAGAACGATTACGACCATTTCTTTTACGTGATTTGAAAGCCATATTAAAAGATACATATGATCAAGTAATTGGAGAATATGTATTAACTATGGTAATAACATATTATAGCAATAATAATAATAATAATAATAATAATTATAATAATAATAGAAATAATAGATCACTGGAAGAAATTATAGAAAGTTTAAAACCTTGGTTAGGAAATCATAATACAAATAAATTATTAGAAGAAACATTTAAATTTATTGAAAGTAAACTTACGATAGAAAATTGGGATAGATTAGCGAATTATGAATAAATCAATAATAATACAAATAATAAATTACATTCAACGCTTTAAAACGTATTTAATTTAATGTATTTAATGTATTGAGCATTTCAAAAATTGTTATAATAATAATAATAATAACATATTTGATTTATTATAGATAATAAATTATAAATCTCGGATAGATTAAAATAAAATATAAATTAACTAAGAATAATTATTGTATAATTATTAAATAATTATTGTATATAGTATTATCTTCCTTCTTAGTTATCTTCATTAACATAACCTTTAGCAATTCCGGTTCGACCTTCTTCTACTAATTGAACTGAAGAATTTCCGATATTTTGTTCTAAACCTTTAAACGTTCGTATTGAATTTAAAAATTCACCTATAAAAATAATGTTAAAATATATAAATACACACACATATAAGAGAATAGAATTAAAAAAAAATACACACATATATAAGAGAATAGAATTAAAAAAAAAAAAAAAAGACATTATGTATATTCTACCTGCAGCACTATTCAATACAGTAGATATTGATGTATTTTTATCGCGTAACGTCAAATCGGTGATATCATTCATATTATCTTCATTATTCTTAATTATTGCATATTTCCGACCTTTTTTTAATTCACCCGAAATTAAAGAGTAATGTGGTTCATCATCATCATCATCATCACCACCATAATCGCGATTTATCTCATTTTTTTCTTTTTTCCATAATTAAATTAAATAATCAAATAATCAAATAGAGAATAAATAAAGATAATAAAATGAATAAATATAAATTAAATTTATTCATTTTCTAACACGAAAATACTCATTAAAAAAAATACCTGATGATGATAATAATTGCCGGAATTCTAATATATATTCTCCCGTCCATTGTTTCGAACTAAATATTTAAAATATTATGATATTAAGAATAATTACATAAAAAATATATATAAAAAATAAAATACCAAAAATTATTGACTTACGAATCAAGTGCAATTTCTAACTCAAATGGAGTAACGATTGGACGATAAAATTCCTAAACATTATTATCGATAATGTAAGTAATATTAAATACTAAATACTGATAATAAATACTAATATTATATAATAATAACAAATAAATAATAATAATATTAATAATAATAATAATAATAATAAATATGTATATAATAATGAATGTTTTAACCTTTGAATCAATTAAACTATTTTCTGGACAAGCCACCAATACAAAACAATCAATTTCCATAAAATTTGCCATCTTTTCTACATTAAGTTTACCCATAACAAATGTATATGGTTTCCTTCCTACTTTAATAATTAAATTTTTTAGATGAGAAATTATCTTCAAATAGGAATCTAAATAAATAGATTTATTATTATTATTGTTATTATTATCTTGTATAATCTTTAATAATAATTACATTACATATTTTCATATTTCAAATTTCAAAATATTTTTACCTACTCCTAAAGTTCCAACCACAATTCCAATAATATTAGCATCTTTGGCTTTTTGAACCATATAAAAACTAATTGAAGAAAAATTTATTCCAAAAATTATTATTAAAGTTTTTGTTATTATTATTATTATTGTTGTTGTTGTTGTTCTTGTTGTTGTTATAATTTACCGTTTCATTAATGCTCGATTCACTTTTAAATTCTCTTGACGTCCTATACGTGTTTTGGAATTATAAGAATATACCTTGAAAAAATTGAAAAAAAAAATATTAATATATTTAGAATATTTATATGAAAAAAAAATGTTATGAAAATTTATATTATGTAAAAATTATTATTACTCACATTACACTTATTATAAGTTAATAATATGTTCGTTAACGTTGGTCCTTCTTCACCAATATAAAATAATGTACAATCTTCTATTTTTGTTCCTTTGGGAAGTGAATAAGATCTTCCTTGAATTTTCCCTTGAATTTCCTCTTGAATTGTCTCCTGAATTTCCTGCTCTTTTAATGGTACCGATTCATCTTTAAATTAATTAAAATATCAGCATGAGCCATCATACGTGTCGTCAAATGTTATCAATATTATATTTTTTTTTTCTTTACTTTTTGAATGTTGTTCTTCTTCTAATATACATGTACTATTACCACCACCACCATCACAACCACCAAAATCTATTTTTGCATCTGTTTTTGTTTTGATAATAATTAAATTTGTATTTTGACTGTATTTTTGTTGTAATTTATAAAAAAGTTCATCTGTAAAATAATAAATAATAAAAAAAAAAAGATTAATAATAATCAATTGTAAAATTATTTTAGGATTCTTGTCCATTTTTTTTTTTTTTTTGTAAATCATTATTATTTTATAAGAAATTCTTTTACCGATACAATGAGCATACACAACATCATATAAAATAATAATAATTTTTTTTTGAGAATTATCATCATTTCCAAAGAAATTATCAAATACTTCTAAACAATGTTTTAAATCGATAGGTTGTCCTCCAAAAATATATAAAACGGGAAGACGGTTCGTACTTAATATAAAAATATTTAAAATATTATAATTATTTATTATCTTTAAAATGTCAATTTTAATTTAAGTTAAAAATTAGTAATTATAATTACATACGGACTTAGACAAGAACGTCCATAATGAATTATACATTCAGCATTAACGTGTTGAGCTGCTACTTCGTCAACGCAACAACTAATCAAAAAAAAAAACAATTTTAAAAAAATTTAAAAAATAATTGAAATAATTAAAAACGAACGAAATAATTCAAATAATTCAAATAATATATTTTTACCTCCCATAAGTTGTATCGGCTAAAATAAAAAATTTTTTATTGGTTCTTTTTCCTAGAGTTGTCGCGACTTTTACAGAATCTGCTAGCAACTCGTCGGGAAATTGAAGAGCGATCTAAAATTTTATTATATTGATATGATATTGATATGATATTGATACATTTTATTTTATTTTATTTTATTTATATATTATAATACTTTATAATATTACTTTTTCAAATTTTCCCTTGATCAACGCGTCTACTGTACGTTCAATTTCATAAAAGGATTCTAATTCTTCTTGAGTATTTGTTATTTTTTTATGACCTTTATCTTCAGTAATTCTTTCTATAATCGCACTACCGTCAGAAAAAATATTTGACATGATTTTTTTTTTTTAAAAAAAAAATTTGAATTGTCGATAATTATATCGTTGATCAAAATTTTTTTATTGGATAATCATTGAACATTATATTCAAAAAAAAAAAAATCAAATTATCAAAGTTTTAACTCATCTTCTTCATTATTCCTCATTATTCGTAAAAATGAGTCCTAAAAAAACAGGCGAGTCATTAAAAATTAAATTTATTTGATATAGATATAGAGATATATATAATACATTATATATATGTTTGAATATTTAAATGTAAATTTTTTAAGAGATATAAAGTAGTAAAGATCTTTTTATTGACAAACTATTTTCGATATTTTCGAACGAATTCAACACGAAAAAAAATTATCTCTCTCTCAAAATTCCAGTATCCAAAAAGGCTGGCGGTGATACACCTAAAGAATCCACCGCCGCCGCCTCCTCTTCCACCTCCAAATCTAAAAGTAGTAGTAAAGATACTAAATCAAAAGGAGGAGTTACTACAAAAACAAAAGAGAAGAGTAAAGCTTTGGCCAGTAAAAAAGCAGTAATGAGAGCAGCACCAGGAAAAGTTAAAAAGAAGATTCGTACCACTACCACTTTTCGTCGTCCCAAAACTTTACATACACCTCGTAAGCCAAGATACTTTCGTAGATCAATTAATCGTACACCTCGATTGGATCAATATAAAATTTTAAAACATCCTTTAAATACCGAATCGGCCATGAAAAAAATCGAGGATACGAATACACTCGTTTTCATCGTTGACACTCAAGCTAATAAACGTCAAGTTAAGGATGCAGTAAAGAAATTGTATGATGTTGATGCATCAAAAGTTAATACACTTATAAGGTAAACCCAAAAATTTTAATATAATATTTTTATCAAAAAAATTTTTTTTAATTTTAATAAATTTTTAATAATTCATATATTTTTTTTAATTCATTAGACCTAATGGAACCAAAAAAGCCTACGTTCGCCTTACTGCTGATGTAGATGCTTTGGATATTGCCAATAAGGTTAAATGGATTTTAATTATTTCGTAAATCTTATTTACATATGTTTATATATTTATTTTCTTTTTATCTTTCTTTCTTTTTTTTCAGATTGGATTCATTTAAATTAAATGTGATAATGTATTAGATTTTTTTTTTTTAAATAAAATATATATTTTTAATAAATATGGAATCACGTATAATTCCAAAATATTTCTTGATTTTTAATATCTTTACAATTCCAGCGAATATAGTGATTGAATGATAAATAATAATAAATACAAAGAAGATATACAAAGATATATTAATAATTTTTATTAATACATTATCAATTATTAAAAATAATATTGATAATAATAGTAAATATAAATATATATATATATATATTAATCAACATTAAATTCATCATCAGGATCAGGTCCCGCCGGTAAAAATTCTTCACCAGGGCACATCATTTCGAAATATTGTTTTGCTTTAATCGATGCATCTTCGAAATCTAATGAAGGATCTGGATCATTAGCCACAACTATATTATCTGGTAAATCTGAACCTAGTAAAGTGCTATCACTATTATTACTATTATTGTTATTATTGTTATTATTATTATTATCATTATTATCATTATTATCATTATCATAATTATTACTATTCTTATTATTATTCGCACATCGATATTTGTGACGATAAAATAATGCGAATAAAGGAACTGGTTTGAAATTATCTTTCGTTCTTTCTAAATAATAAATAATGGGATGGGATAATTTTAATGTGATGATGTTAATAAATAAATAAATAAATAAATAAATAAATAAATAAATAAATAAATAAATAAATAAATAAATAAATAAATAAATAA